TGTGTCTGTAAGGTATCTTCATGTTCTGATGGTCTTCTGGTCCTTCGTGGCTGGGGTCGTCACCTTCTACTGTTCCTTGGGACCGGACTCCCTCCTGCCCAATTTTTTGTTCACAATAAAATATAAACCCAAGGTAAATACGCCTGTAAAGAGTCTTGTGCTTTTAAAAAATACGATAAGAATCTATATGGAGTGGTAATTATTGTCTAAGCCTAGCTGCTTTCAGAAATATTGTGCGTCAGTACAGCTCACACACTGCTGCTGACAGGTGTTTTGTGGCAGGCAAGTAGATGATGGTTAAGACTTTGAATTCTTTGGGTATTTCTGCATAGTCCCGTCAAATTCACGTACGGCTGCAAGGCCGGTTGTTGGGCTGTCCAAGGATGTTATTTCCTCCTTCTTTCATTGCACATTTTGAGCATTTCAGTAGCAGACAGTGGAGAAACTATGTTGTTGTTTGCTCCTTTAAGGGGGCTTTTTCTTTTCTAAAGATGCCCTCCTTTTCATAGGCCAGTGGTGAGTCTTTGCTCACTGTAATCAAAATTCTTTAAGCAGTACTGCACTTCAAAAAGAAAAATATTCCCAAAGAAAATTGCTCTTTTCTAACTTAATTCAATGTAGAATTTCATAGGGCTAAAAGGGTATAGTTGCGATAGTTCAAGGCTATGAGTAAGGCAGAGAAACCATCTGGTCTGTTACGAGACTGATTAACGTACAGGGAGGTGAGTGGAGATGTGAAAGGATATCTGTGTCCTCTCACTTTGTTTCAGTGGAAGCGATTTTTCTTTTAAGATTCTGTTGTTTTTCATGCTATGCTTTGTTATCTTGTTTTCCTGCTGGAAGAATAAGTTTGTCTTTATTCAGTTCTCTGTAATAGTATGCTCTGAAAGGAAATTTACAAATGTTTGGCTATGTTACTAGAGTCATCATTTTGGAGAATGTAAGCTTGTCCAAATCTCTTAGCAGTTGGAATTGCCGGAGCTGTTTCCCCATGGTCACAGCTGTGCTGTGTGTGGCAAGGTCAAATGCAAGAGGCACAGGTAAATTACATGTGTGGCACTCCTAAGCTTGGCACTGCTGCCCTTTGACACATCACAGTAGGAACCTGTCAATTGCACATTGTTACATAAACTTCTCCATGCTCTCCTACAGACCTACTTTGCTTCTGGAAAACTATCAGCCATGGCTGGATCTGAAAGTGCCTTCCAAGGTTGATGCATCACTTTCAGAGGTAATTGGCGCATTGTTTCTTCAGTACATTAAAATTCTGTGGGTTTTTATTATGTGTCTTTGAAACCTTTTGCTTCTGGTTCACTAGATGGTTCAGATGTACCTTGCAGGTGTTTTAACTTGTTCAAATCCAAGTCAAGTCAAAGGAGTGTTTGCTGGGAGCAGGGAGCCAAGATGGCCTGCTTTTAAACATGGACTGCTTGTGTAGCAGTGCACCTAAAACACAGAAAAAATGTCTGCGTAAATTGGGAAGAATAATGGAAAGATCAGTTAAAATTGAGCATGTCTGTGTCGTAGAAATGAAGGATTTCAGCCTGCTTCGTTTCTTGGAGTTGAGGGTAAAAGATGATTTGATCCAATTACAAAAGTTCTGTAATGAAGATGAGAATTTGATGGTAGGGACTCTACAAGAAGGATGAAAAAAATTACAAGAGCATAGGGGAATGGATTCAAACTGACAGAGTAGGTTTAGATTAGATATTAAGAAGAAATTCTTTACTGTGAGCATGGTGAGGTGCTGGAACAGGTTTCCTAGAGAACTTTTGGTTGCCCTGTCCCTGGAGGTGTTTGAGGCCAAGTGGAAGGTGTCCCTGCCCGTGGCAGGGTCTGGGAACTGGAGGATCTTTCAGATCCCTTACAACCCAAACCATTCCATGAATCTATTTAAAGTCGTCAGATAAAGCTGTAACAAAACCTTTCTTTAAAAAGAAATTGCAGAATTTACTCAAAGAAGAACAGCATTTTTTTTTTTTGTTGCAAGACCGTAAATCAGAAATTTTATTTCGATCTCTTTAAAAAAAAGAACTGTTTGAAGAACAGTTTTTTGTTGTGCTTGGTTTTTTGTTTCCTTGATTAGTAATTGATGCAATGTATTGGGAGCTAAACAGATAAGCTTTGTGTTTTTTGAAGATAGGAAGGTACACAAGCACATGTAGATTAATATCCATTTATTTAGAATTCCAACTTTGGAATTCTCTGGAAGGAGGATGAACAACTGGCATGGCAGAATTGAGTCCGTTTTTGTGTGTGAGTTCTTGCAGTTAGCAGCATGGTGTGTGAAGTCAGAGCCATGTGTGTCTGTGGTATAAGCTGACACTTCAGCTCTGAGAGACATTGTCCCAAGCATGGCCCACTGAAGGAGTGGGAGGAGAATGAAAACCTTGAGGAAGGCATGGACAGTTGAAAAATGTTTTTTAAAAAGAACAGGTAACAACTTGTTGACTTCCTCTAGTTGAATGAAGTGACTTCTTCTGTGATTTCAGAAATAAACATTTATTCTTTTAAAGCTACTTAATTTATTTTTAAAATAAGTTTAACTGTATTAAGACAACAATATTGCTGAATAGAATTTCAATAGCCTCTTGCTTTAATAATAGAATGTAAAATAAATGCTTCCATGCATTTAATATTTTTGGGAGTTGTGGTACCAAATAGCTGGGGCAGTCTAATGAAGGATGTTGTAGACGCTGAAGAACTGGAAATTTTCTTGTTTGGCTTAAATGGGAATTTGATGCTGAGAAGGTTCTTTGTAATATCTCTTTGCAAGTGATGTGAGTAGATACCATAGTTACCTCCTTGGCATTTTCCGTGTTATTGCTGTAGTTCTGCTTTTACCAAAACAGTGACCTTTTCTTTGCTGTTACTTTTCACTTCAATGGCATGTCCCAGGTCCTGCTTTATTTAGCACTGCCGGTGTGGGTCATGTGTATCCATGGCCATGCTTCTCATTCCTTTACCTCCTTTGTGTGCTTATCTGGAGGGATGAACCAGGCCTGGGTTCTGGACCATTCCAGGGCATTGAGCCATGGTCACCCTCCTCAGTTAGCCCAAACAAGTCGTGTGAGTCGCCTTCTCCAACTGTGTTGGACAGATACTGTTTGGGGTGAGAAATCTCATTGCATGGTTCCTCACTGCAGCTCTTCTCTGCTGGTTAAAAGGGTAGCCAGGGGTTCTGCCCACACCATATTCCTCTTCACCACCTGTTCTGAGGATGCAGAATGTAATGCTGGTCTGGAATTGGATAGCCTGCTTCAGGTTGGAAGGAGAGACTGCTCTTATTTTCTTTTGTGGGTTAGTTATACATTAGAGAGAAGCTGATACAGTGTGAATTGAATTAAGGTTAATTAGATTCTAAAGGAGTGCAGAGTGCAGTCTGTTTCTAAAAAGCAGTTTCTTCAAATACTTGGAATAATTTAGGAATTTTTTTTATTATGTTTTAATTTTTCTAGTTGTTTTTTTGCAGCTTGAAGAATTTTGGCAATATCCTCATTTCCAAATGTTTCTAATTTGAGCCAGGTGCAGAGCCGTCAAGCTTGTGTTTTTCAAGTGCTTTCAGAATAATTTAATACACACTCAAATCAGAAGAAATCCAAGTTTTCCTCACAAGTATGGATTTTTCTGTCTTGAATTGTGATGATAGTTTGTCTCACTTTGCAAATTCTTAATCGTTTGCAGCCTTGTTTTAGTCTATTCAGCTGCTGTGCGTGGTTTAGAAGAATAACAAAACCTGTGCCTGAGCATTCCTCCCTCCACGTTTATGTTTGTTTTCACAGTTGAATGCTAAACTGTCTCAACCATGCATCCATCAGTATTTTATAATTTGGGTTGCATCTTGCACAAAAATAATGCAGTGACCTAATTTTAATTTTGTTTCCAGTTTCTAATCCATTTTGCATTATGCTTGTTTCTTCAATGTTTTCTTTCTTTTTGAATTAGGACATGATATCAGTTGGTTAATTTTACATTGTGTATTATCCAGGTGCTACAGATTGTAGAGAAAAAGATTAATTAATTACCAGAACAACAGGATTCAATTCTCTTTTATACAATCTCATTTTTGCTATGTGAGAGACAGTTGCAAGTCAAATCTGTGGAAGGCTGCTCAGCTACTCTTTATCAGCATGGTGAAAAAAAGTCTCACTGGATCAAGATGCTGCTGTCTTTTGATCTCATTTAATTCTTCTCAGGTTTTTGACTCCATTATGGGACTGAGTTTTTTTTTTTGTGGGTTTTTTTTTTTTTTTTTTGATGTTGTTGTTGTTTTCTAAAAGCAAGAAATAGACAAATGCCTGACAAGAAATCGGTTGTTGCTTGAATGTGCTCTTTACAAGTCCTGAACTCTTGCAGTAGCACAATGGACTGTATGCTTTCTTATTGGAGTGGCTTGTTCTACTCCCAGAAAGTGGCCTCAGCTGTCAGGTTGTGCTCTCTTTTAAGGATTTAGAATTGTTATTGTGGTTTATGTATCAAATCTTTTGCTCCTTTCTGTTCTGATTGGGCCTGGTAGTTCTGACCTGCCACTGATTCAGCATCATTCGTCTGCACAGTTCCTCCTCCTGACAATTGGGGTCAGTTGTGCGGCAGTCCCCAAAAAGCTTGTCTCAGCAGCAAAGACTGACTAGCTTGCAGTGTTGCAGTGCATGCTAGAAAATAATTTCTCTCTTTTTTTTTTTTTTTTTAATTCAGCTGCTCCTTATATTGCTACCTGCTGTATTTGGTTTTACACTTGTAATCTTTTTCCAATTCAAAGCTGCCCACGCATAGTAGAACCAGTCATTTTGCAAAATGCTTGAAAAATAGTTAGGCTTTAAATGGAATGACTCATCATTTGTATTTAAAACTGGAGGATAATACTTTACAGACAAGGAAATGTCTTATCATTAGCTGTCATTTTTTGAGGTGTCCCATCTACTTCATTGGTGTGTGTGCAATGTGAGCAATGAGCCTGAATAATATTTTTGTTGTTGATAGAATGGAAGTGGGTGCACATGTCCTGCTTCCCCAGTGCTTCATGAAAGTGTAGTGTATGATGTGGCCAAGTTTTTTCTGTCAAGCACAATTGCACTTGTACAGTCTGGAATGCTGATAGGGTTGAAGGAAAACTGGTATGGACTACATGCCTTGAAAAAGTTAGTGGCAGTAATAATGGCTTATTACTTCTTGAGCACTTCCATTTTTGCAGTAGGGATGATTTCACACAGTAGCTCTGCTTTAACTTCTGTTCAACACCTTGGTGGAATGGAGCATCATACATAACTGCCTCTGCCATGGGTTTAATTAATTTGCAAGTAGGTGCTGCTTTCTGTGCCCCCACATGTTTTATTAGGGCCATATAGGTAACCTGAGTCCTAGTAGAATGTGTCATGCCTCCTGATATCTTATCAGCAATAAGTGGACTCCAGTGAAAAGTGCATTTTGAGTTAGCTGTCTGTCTCTGTGCATGCTGTCTATGTGTCTGCCTGGTGGGATTGTCTGCAGTGTTCTGTGGAAGCAGCACCATAAAGCTTGCACTTACAGTGTGGCTGTGGAAGAGAAACACTGGCAAGTCTGTAAAATGGTTCAGCTGGGGCTCTGTTACTGCAACATGGGAAGAATCTGAAGGAGACTTCGTCTTCCACTTTTGAGTGGGAAGGATCATCAGGTTTTGCACCTTTTGTTACTTTCCTTGCTTATTTAATAACCATGGGAAGATGAATCCCAGAACTGTGTTTTGCTCAGGCAGCAGTAAGGATCAGATCTCTCTCTGTTGGAAATAATTCTTCAAGTGCCTTCAGAGGCCTCCATAGGACTATAGAGGAAGAGAGGGCCAATAAGTTATGTTAGCATCTAATGAACTGAATTTGTAGTGGCACATTCATGGAAAACTTGATAGACAGGCTCTCAGTTCAAAAATAGTAGTCATAAATGAAGAAAGCTGTTTCAAGAGGAGTTCATTGTATACCTTTGAATACACTGTTCTGTGCTTGAAGGCTCTGCAAGTGCACTTTCCACTCCAAACAGAAGTTGCTCTGCTGCTGTTGCTTCTGATGGGGAAGCACAGAGGAAAAGTGGAGGAAGAAGGAAAAGGGCTCCTTTAATAGACAGATTGATTTTTTTTTTTTGCAAGCTTTCTGTAAGGCATTTCTTTTGAAGTGTGCACTTTGAGCCTTGAAAGAGATTTATTTTGTTAGAAGCTCTGCATGAAGAAAAATAGTGTCGCCATACCTGTGAGACCGAGATTTCTGTGTAGCAAATTGTGGCTCATGACGTGGCAGTGCTATGGAAGGCATCGGGAAATTGGTTTAAGTAGTTTAATATACTGCTTGTATGGCTAATGGCCTGTGATTGCTGACTGGAGCTGGATGAGGTCTCCTTTCTGTTGTCTGAAGATTGACTTCCATAGAAGGTTCCCTGGGATTTCTTAATTTCTTCTAGACTGGGAATTGAAGCATCTGTTGTCATTTCCCTTACCCTTCCACCTCCTTTTAAATGGAAATACGAGATGGGGGATGGGGATGTCACACAACAACATGATAAAACATTTAGTTTACCCATCCATCATTAACACATGATGGTATTACAGTTTTGAGATCTATGACTGCTGTAGCACATAAGGGTAGGAGAAAAGACACTGATGACTTTGTGTGGTCCATAACACAGACATCTAATGTTATCCCAAGCTGCAAGACGTCTCTTCAGAGAGAGGGGAAGAAAATCACTGAAATGGAACAGCTGGAAAAGAGAAAGGATCTTATCCAATCTGAGTAGGTGATATTCTTACTAGTGAAGACAGAAGAAGAGTATTCTTGACCTGCTCACGTCTGAAGAGTTGAGAAGAATTAAAAAGGCCATGTGTGTTTTTTATTGAGTATGCTTTTATAATCATGAGAGGAGCAGAGGCATGTAGTACCCTAAAGATAGTATAAACTTACTAAGTCTTGAATTCTTGCAGTGTGAATGAGTGCAGCAGCACATCTTGTAAGAAGAGTAGCACTTATTCTCATGAATGTCACTTGTATATCAGCTGGTACATTCAGCTTTCCTTTCTAACAGACTTCACATTTTTCTTTGTACACAGTGGCTTTGAAAAACCTTTCCTTCAGCAGAACATGGCTGAGGAACCTCACATAGCAACATGTATTCTCTCTTAGTCCCTTCATCAGCATTGATGCTGTTGGGGATGAACTGATCTCTAAAACCCTGATTCAAATTGAGGGATAAGTTGCAGTGGGAGAAGGTAGTGTGTGGGTGATATCTTGGGGTTATACTGAAGGAAGAGGAATCTTAAGAACACTACATCCTTCTGTCTCTTTCCTTGTTATGGATGGCTTTCATAGGAATTGCTATTTTTGACTATTCTTTTGCTTTCTTTGAGAGTGAGGAGCATGCAGAAATGACTGTCCCATCTTGAAGGTGGAGGTTTGGGTGAAAAAGGATGGAGGTGTGTGTAAGGGTGGTATGTAACTGTGCCTGTGGGACACTCCATGCTATGCCAGAAAAGAACAGGGACTGATCTGAAAATTTAGGGATGGGCTGTTTAAGGTAAGATTACAGTTTTTGTAGCATTTGCCTGATGGTGGCCATGACACTGTGCTTCGTGTTACTGATAGATAGTACTTGTGGCAGATGTTTCGTGTTGATATCTGATGAAAGCGTCACTTTGATGTTAGTTGCCCAAAGTACTGATCAAGATGCAAAATGGTTGATCTAGCAACAGGATCACAATTTACACATTTTTATGTTTTACCATGTATAAATTATGTCCTATGGGTTTTGGAAGGTGTTTGTGATGTTAACTCTTCTAACAAAGATTTGTAGTAAACTGTTTATTTTGTAACATGGTTGTCTTTGTTCTGCACAGGTGCTTGAGTTGGTGCTGGAAAACTTTATTTATCCGTGGTACAGGTATGAGCTTTACCTAAAAGTTACTATTTTTAATATCATAAATATTTATCAACCTGTTTGAGAAGTTGACACCTGAAAATAAACCTTTCTCTTTCCTTAGTGAAAGATAAAGGACCCTTTTGAGTGCTAGGAATCACTGTTTTATTGTCTCTTAGCAGAGTAGAACAGATCTTTTGATAGTTTAGTTATAATAGAGGTGGTTCTGAAATTCAGATTTCATCCTAAAACCACTTTTAGATTGTCTGTTTTTTTATTTTGAGATAACTCTTACTTGTAGCTAAATACAGATTGATGAAAATCTGTGTGAAAATTCAACCTGTCACTACCTTTTAAGTTTACTTTCAGATTAGAAGCATACTGATCTATCATATTGCTTAAAAAAAAATAAAAACAACCAAAAAACAAACTTTGCAGGGTTTTAGAGAAAAGATATTTAAACTACCTATGGCCAACTTCTTGGTCATCTCATTAATTTCCAACTTTTCCAGCTTTTAAGACTGTCGGTGATTATGTTGTGCTGAATAGACTAGTGCTGTGTAAATAACTATTAAATAGTGAATAAAGAAAAGACTATGGCTGATTATTTTTTCTGTGTTTTTTTTTTTCTTCCGGGTTTTCTTCCTTGTACTTTGATATATATATTATAGTGCTTTGCAGTGCTTTGTAAGAAGATATTAAAATATTTGATATTAAAATATTATAACTGATAATGCTGGCATTAATGTGTTAAAACAACATCTTGCCTTAATTCTGAATTTGACTTTTTCATTGAATGGAAAGTTCAATTTGTCCTTAAAAAGGTATGCTTTCTTTTATTTTTACTCTGTGTCGTTTGGATTTTTTTCTGTCTCTGGGACCCAAAATTTACTGTTCAGACTTCTTTGCCTCTTGGGTTTTGATTGTGGCCAATACCTGCACATCTCATCTCTAACTTTGTGTGTTGAACATGCTGAAGTGTAAAACTTCACTGCTGATGCAAACAGGAGAGGGAGCTTTAGCACCACTTCTTGTGAATGCAAGTTGGAAACCTCGAGGTTTTAAATTTTCAAATACAGAAAACTAGAGCATGTTCTGTTGGGTTGTTGATAAAGTAACAAATGTAAGGCAACCCTTTCCTGTATTGCATGATTGGAAAACAGGTTATTCTTGGCTGGTGGAAAGTGTCTTTAATGTCTTTGTTGTGGAGTGACGAGAAAACTTGGCTTCCACCAATTACTTACCTCTCTGACACCCAAGGCAGTGGAAGTCTGGAATACATCATCTGTGTGGGGTGGGGATAATAATTCACTATGTCTGTAATGTGCAGTTAGAAATGCAGTGTAAAGTACACCTTGTCTGAAGCCAACCAGACTACATTGTGCTCCATCTCGCCCTCTGCTGAGCAGTGTAGGTGTTCCTGCCCTGTCTTAAATTCTGCATGGCTGTACCTCTGGATTTTGAGCTAGTTCCATACATTCACACTGTTCTGTTGAAATCTAACAGCCTGAAGGTTGTTAAATTTCAGGTTCACGTGAACCTGAAATACCAGGAGTTCAGTGATCTGCTGTGAGTGCTGTGATGTCCAAGCAATTCTACAGGAAGCATCTTGGTCCTGAAAGGCTTACTGGTTTCAGTTTAACAGATGTGACCCTATTTAGTCTTGACATGTGGGTGTTTCCAGCAGGGTTTGTGCAGGGAGACCTGAACTGTGTCTGTGTGCCATAGTTTGAGAGCTGACTTGTAGAGCATGTCAGCTCTGATTTTTCCTACTCTAGTTGTACCTGCACTGTTGGCAAAGCTCACATCACTTGAGAAATAGAATTCATGCATCCAGGGCATGTTTGTTTTCTGAACAAATAAACCTAACTCAGTTAATTCTTCCCAGAGCCTTTGCTCCACGCTCTCCTTATTTAGCAGCGTGGCTGGGTGAGCACTAGCAGTCAATTCATGCTTGTTTGCTAGGTTGCTAAGACTCTTGGCTATGTTCCTTTGCATAGAAAAGTTTGGTCATAATTCCTTGGGATAGCTGCTCTGCCTTTCATGTGAATGGATTTTGCATAGAAGCCACCTTTTTTTTTTTTTAATTTTTATTTATTTATTTTTTCAACGACCTTGGTTTTTGTTTTATGTGTTGTGCCAACTAATGCTGTCTTGGACATTAGTGTTACCAGGATGTATCTCAGTCAGAAGCCTGGGAAGTGTTACGTTTCCAGGGTGGGTTGCAAGATAAAATTATGGATTTTTTGCTTAGGAATAAAAGTGCTGTAAGCATATAAAAACTGGTTTATCTTTGTTTCATTAATAAATAGTGTAAGAATTTATAATTTTTTATTAACAGGTTAAAATTTAAGCAGGTCCTAAATTTGGACCACTTTAGGGGAATGAGGGTTAGTGCTTAAAATCCATTGAATTCTACTGAAATAGGTCATTACACCTATGTGCATTTTTGCTTTTTATTTTTCAAAGTATTTATACTGATTATATTAAGATTTTTTTTCAACTGTATGAGAAAAATCAAACATAGCTGTAAGTAATGCCAAGTTTGTAGAGCTACAAAACACAGGTCTATTGCTTATGCTGTACAGCAAGAGTATATAATATCTTACTTATACTGACCTTATTTCAAATAGAGTTTAAGGTTTGAATGGGTCACTCTTGCTTACTAAATATTTTTGGTCATTGATGGTACTGCAACTCCAGTTCTCTTAGATTAGGACAGAATTCAGTAATTACCACATTTTGTGATACATTACTATGAAAACATTTCTCTTTGATGGTGACTAAATACAGTGTTTTCACATGTGGAGCTGCTTCTATTTTAAATGAAAGTTCTTTTTAAATGCAAGTAATGCAAGAAAAATTTAGAATTTTTGTTGAGTTACAAACCATAGCTGTACATTTTTATTAGCTTGTGACTTATTTTCTACATATTTTTGAAAGGAGTTAGCCAAGTTTTGTAAGAATAATTGACACACAGAGGAAAAATATCGCTTTGTTATTTGTATATGATTTTCATTTATCAGTGGATCCCATAAGACTTTGCATGCAATAGCAGTTGAGCGTATCTCTCTTGAGACATTATACTCTGTAACTGTTTACAATTAATATTTCTAAAGTTCTGGGAAAACACAGCCAGCTTTTAAAATGTTTCCAAGAGGGTTATTTGGACTTTCCCCTGAGTCACTGGAGATTTGACATTTTACAGGTTCATGATGGTTTTTTTTGCCAGTCTTCAGTCTGCTGGTGATTAAAACAATGTCTTTGCAAATCTGTTGTGAGAATATGTGGCATAAAGTTGTGTCCAAGTTGAGCTAGCCAAGATACTGGTTATCCTACTGTCAATAAAATAACAACTTCTTGGTCCAAATTACTTCATGTATCTTCCTGTCTGTCAAATTTACTAATACCATAATACAGTCGGTTTGCCAACCCCTTGGCAATGCTAATCCCTTTGACAGTGTGGGTATTTTCTAACCATATTGCATATAAAATATCAGCTGCTGATCTTAAACCAAACTTTCCCCTACAGTGTTCTTATCTGCATGTGATTAGCAGTTGGAGAATAATTGTGTTTCTTGTGCCAGGCTGCTTTCTTTGAGGTGTTTTCTCATGCAATTAGTTACATACTTTGACTCTCAGGTCACTGGAATCTCTAGTATATTTACCTGGTTGCTCATCATCAACATGCCTTTGAAAGTTCTGTAACCCAAGCTAAAAGTGCTTTAAAAGTTGGATACTGAATAATATAAAATGTTTTATGCATAATTTTAAAAGTTATTTTTAAATGTCCTGTTCTTGCTTGCAGTGTTCTTTTATAACACAAGTAATATTTCTACTTACTACACTAATTTATCACCAAAAGTGTGATGGTTCTTGCATATGATCATTAGTTAAAACTGGATGCAACTTCCTTTTTTTTGTCATTATTCAGCTGTTATAGTTCAGTTTTACCAATATATTAGTCATGCTCTGAAGTTCATATTAATAACGGATAGGTTTTTGGTTTTCCCTTGCTTTTTGTGGAATGCTGGCATTGCAATCTTTTTCCACTCAGTTTAGATGCAGTTTCCTCATCTAAGACTTAGTGTATTTCCTGTTTCATTCAATTTTCCAAAAAAGTAATGGATTTAGGTATTTTTCTTCCTGAATCATATTTAATTATTTTTACCATGAGTTTTCACTGAACATATTTTATTGCAGTGGATGGAAACTGGCAAGCCAGATTAAAAGTTTGGATGATATTTTGACATAGCGATTTGGAAATCTGTTTAAATTCTTCTTTGCTTCCAAGCAGAAGCCACTTCAAATAATTTCAATTTCCTTTATACCATTGAGTTTGGATGTGTTTCCATATGGAGAAGCTAGGTTAGAGTTTACTCAGTCAAAATTGTGCAGATACTATATGATAGCAGGAATTGGTAAATCACTGCAATTTCCTGACGTTTTTCTTAAGCTGTTTTGTGCACAGACATTGTGGGAATGCTGTGTATTTTCCTCAGACAGAAGACTGCTGACTCTGGTAGCTTTCATTTCAGTTCATTCCAGCTGAAGTATCACTGTTGAATGTTCTTGTTCTTATGCTTTTAATAGTGCCAAATGTATTGTGGTTGGATTAATAGAAATTTATTTTATTCTGTTTTCTCATATGCCATGCTTTGAAACACTGCAGAAATATTACTGATGATGAGTCCTCAGTGGATGAACTGAGAGGGACACTACGGTTTTTTGCATCTGTCTTAGTTCGGAGAATTCACAAGGTAAGGTGACTTAAAGGTATTAGTCTTGGTTTTCCATCAGAATTAATTGATATCCCTCTCTTGTGAGTTCTTTTTTTTTTTTTAATTGTGATTTCAATGTTAGCCCTATGTTGTAGGTTGTTTCTAACCTTCCAAGTTACTTCTTTGTGGTCTCTGCCCCATCTTTCTGGAGCTTATTCCCTTCCTAGCTGTAAACCATCTCTGAAGATTCATCATTTGAAGTGTTCAGCATTGTGTTGAATATGAGCAACCTGCTCCAGTGAAAGATGTCCCTGGCATGGCAGGGGATTGGAATAAGTGATCTGTGAAGGTCCCTTGTGACTCACACCTTTCCCCAGTTCTTGCAAATGGATATATTTATTACACCAGTGCAAGGCATTATTAAAACCTTGTGATCTTTTAGCTGTCTTTTGGTGACTTAATCCAAGTGGAAACCATTTTGAGAAATACTGAAAAAAACCTACTGGGAAATGGTGAGCTGTGTTATAGCTTCTGCTTGCTTGTCTTCTTAAAATGCAAACAAGGCCCTTACATTGTCTATAAAGAATAGACTGTCATTAGGTGACCAGGTTACTGTAAGAATTAAAACAGATGTGGTTCTTACATTAATGCAGTTCTTCAGGAGCATTTTGAGTGCTAAAGATTACAAGTTATTATCTGCTGTGTTTAATCTATTAGCACATACTTTTTATTTGATGTGTTTAACCTATTAGCATATACTTTTTTTCTGTGTGCTCTCTTTTTAACAGCACAGCTATTTCCTGGTGAAGTGCTCCAAGCCTGTTTCACAGTAATTGCTTCTAACTATTTGGCTGTTCTAAGCAGAAAGGGTTGCTAAGTCAATTTCCAGAATTAGTCAGTGCTGGCCTCTCTGTTGTAGCCACTACCATAAATATGTGTCTTTTTCCCCCCTTCTTACTAACAGCATTTTTTTTCTGAGCTACAAGTTGTGCATGTACCCTGTCATGACTTATTAACAGTGTGACTCTCTCCTTCTTACACATCAAATCCAGATGACTTTCTTGTTTACTCTAAATCAGGCATGTTACTTTTTAAAATGGACATGGGAGAAGATTAGGAAATGTCTGTGTAGCACAGATACTGTATGGAGGTGTGAAAGTGGAGTAAAGCTTCAAAGTGAAAATCTAGACCAAGGTCATAAAATTTAATTTGGAGTTGTAATACTTGCTGGTGTTAGTTGCATTGTGCATGGATCCATTGTTGACTCAGAAAGTGACCATGTCTCCTGTATTGATCATGTAATGAGCCATTGATTGGGATATCTTCAGTGAGTTACAGCACCTTGAAGTAGAGTGCTAATTTTCCATCTCTGCCTTTGACAGCGAGCATTTAAATGTAGTGTCTTCAGTTCTCTGGGTAGGCAGTGTGTGCAACAAACAATCAAGCCAGTATTAAGCACTGTCAGGGGACCTACAAAATAGAGTTAATCACAGAAATGCATATGTTGAGGAGAAATTAATCATCATCAGTTGAAAAATAAAATAGTTGTATACCTTGCCAAACAGCTGTACTCTGTTTTGGATTTATTATTAAATGCTTGAAAGCAGTAGTTATAGCTAATAGAGATAAAATGTTTAAATTAAGGAAGAATTGTGTGAGAAAACACAGGCTTTTTTTCATTTTTTAGATTATATCTTTATATTTTTTTTTGCCAAAGAATATTCTACTTTTGAATTGAGACTTGAAATTACAAATTGCTTTAATGGAAGGAATCCTTTTGTTTTCTGTTTAAAGCTGCCTAGGTCAAAGCATGGTTGTTGAATTAAATTAGAAGCACTTCCGGCCAGTCAGCTCTAATATGCTGAAATACTTCAAATCTGGATTTTCCTTGCTGTGGCCATTGCTGGATTGGCTATGGATTTTGAAGGGAAAGGGAAATGTTATACCACACCTTTTTACGGTGTAGTATAGATAACCCTGCATCTGATGGAAGTTTTTGACAAAAGTTCACAGTGTCTACTGCAGAGTTGATAACAATTTCCTTGACTGTGCTCTTTGAGTCACCTCTGCAGGAAGAAACACTTCCCTATCTTTATATGCCATAGGAAACTCTTAATTTGTAGAAATTACTGTTGGAATGTGAGGCACAAAAGACAGGATTTTCCATTGATAAGCAGAAGCTTGTCCTTTTCTGCTTGTAAACAGGAGCTGACCTTACTTTTAGGCAGCTCCAGTCAATTGTGCTGGCTTGTTGGGGCTGGCCAGGTCAGGTCATAGCTGTGCACCTCAAATATTATAGGGGAGTGTGCAGGAATATGCAATATTCTCCTTGTACAATTGAATAAAAAACCACCAACTTTTCTCTTGGCTCTGGTGGCCTTTACAATTGCATTGCCTCTTCCTTGTCTGGCAAGATGCTGTATCAAGGAGGGATTCCTCCATTAGGAAAGAAACTTGTGTGGAATTCCTAGTTTTTGAACACTTACAGGTGCATGGTTTTGCATCTCTAAGGTGTCTCGTTTAAAATAAAGAGTATGCAAAGTGTAAATCACCTTCTAGATGAGTTTCTGTAAAAACTTGCGGGTGATAAAGAGTTCCTTGAAACTGTACAGGCTGGGGACTGACTGGGTTGAGGGAGAAGCTGTGCTTGCTGCAAAGAACCTGGGCCCATAGTAGGCTGTGAGCTGAATATGAGCCATCAGTGGCAGCTTAAAACACCAACAGCATCTTGGGCTGTAGTGACAGGAGCAGATAAAATCAAGGAAGTGATTGTCTGCCTTCACTGGATGCTCTTTGGATGGCATGTAGGATACTAATCCAGTTTTGGACACTTTACAAGAAAGTGGAGCAGGTTCAAGGAGAGGGCCACCCAGATGATTGGGGCTGGAGGAGGTGACTGTGTTCAACCCAGGAGGCTTTCAGGACCAGCTGGATACAGCCATGAGCACCATGATCAGAGCCTGTTTGGAGCAGGGCCAAGACAACACAAAGTCATTTGTGCTTGAATTGTTCTCCTTCCATTTTTATAGCCACCAAAGAAAATAGAAATGCAGGACCCTAATACAATCCTTTATTAAATCAGACATGTTTTTTGTTTGGCTTATGATCACATGGTTTTGGTTTTGGCACTAATGGTCTTTTGACTGTGTAACGTAAAATTCTCTTTTGGTTCTGCCATCACATGAGGGGTGATATTTTTTCTGCCTGTATGTAGGAAGGTTTCTCTTTGGTTTTAGTCCTTGTGGACACAACTGTAGAGTGTTAAGGCATGCAAGTGTTAGAAGCAGAGCATAGTTAACTTGATTCCTTTTGTTGGTGGTCAAATTGTCCCATGGAGCTGGGCTTCAGCTCCTGTGACTCAAAAGTCACACTGCCTTGTTTTATTTATTGCAATGAAAAAATCATAGTGGGAATGAGTTGGCAATAAATGTGTTAACTGTGTTGTTTATGGCATTTTGTTCTGTGTGTTTTTATATACCTTGGACACTGTCAGCTCACCTAGATAATTTTCGATTATTTCTTAATGGTTCATTTTATGATTCAAACCACAGCATATAAGCAAATTACTGTTTGATGGTTGTCTGTAATAAATTTTTTGGGGGGGAAGGGGATAGAACAGTTTTGGTTTGATTTTGAAATTATTCTTTAGGTGGACATTCCAACGGTTGTAACAAAGAAGATGCTCAAGGCAGCAATGAAACACATTGAAGTAATAGCCAAGGCCAGGCAAAAAGGTAATGTCAAGACTTAATATGTTGACAGTTTCAAAGGCCAGGTATGAATATTCTTTTATGCATGTTTGAGATTATATTACTTTGTCTTCTTATCCTTATGGCCTCTTTTTTAAAAAATGAGATTTGCGTTTTTCTTCTGGTGGGTGCGAAGGCAAATAGGGGAAAAGTACATAATTGTATTCTCTGTTTTGATTTTTATTACCTCAATAAAAATACAAAATTTCTCTCTCTGTACAGGGGTGAACAGGAATATGGGTTTTGTCTATTTAGAGCAATCAAGATCATTTAAGAATGCTTCTTGAAGTTTTTCCTTTATGTTCCAGACGAGCAGTTGTAGATGAAGGGATTTGTACATCTGTGCACTGTACCTCAAAGCTCTTATAGATAGAATGATTTGAAATTTGCATTAGTGAAGTTGTAATATGTTGAAAAGCCATGGAGAGACTTTGAGCAAAAAGTCTCATAAAAGCATATTTGTTATCCAAGATAAGAGTATCTTCACAAGCCTAATGTAAAAATTGTATTTAAACTGCACATAGAAGAAATAGTTGGAAGCACTTGCTGTTGTTATTATTTTTCCACTGGCTGTGTTCCACAGTGCTGTATCTACTAAATGTGGTTTCATTCAGTTTTTAAGTGTTGATGTTTACTTTAACTGTAGTCATGAACTTTTCTTCTTTCCCTCCAAATGTCTGCTTGATATCCATAAATACATGTCATTGGTCCTGTGAGTAGTGTTAATGATTAAGATGAGTAATGAGACATAGTTTAATCATGTTGGATGTCTTTCATGGCACAACAGCAATTTCAAGACAGATAATCTTGAAGTGCTGTTTATGCCAAATTTCATGTTTCCTTTGATTTCTACCAAGGAGTTGGAAACACTTTCTTTAGCAGTAAAGAACTGTATTTTAAATGTACAACATTGTAAATATAGCCATTTTTTCTCAGTATTAAAAAAAAAAAGGCTTGTTTCCTAAGGGTAGATATGTGAAGCAGCAACTGAAAATTACTTTTAGTAGCACTTTCTAGTAAACATTGCTAAAGCAGCCATCACAGTACATGGTTCAGAGGTAGCTTTCAGACCCTGCTTTGGTTGCTAGTTGAGCCTAGCCTTTTCTCCTTATTTTCTAAATCCTTTTCAAGTGGATTGCTTTTAGGAGGTATTTCCTTTTCTCCTGCTCTTGTTACCCTTACCTCTCTTAATAAGTCCTATTTGCACAGACACCTCCACAATTCATTACCTGCCCTCGCTAGAGGCTGCATTCCTTCTCTCTGCTTTTAGTGACACCACCTAGGCAGATTTACCAGGTGATGTATATTCCTGCATCCCCTCTGCCAGCTGATACCACTCGTGGGTTTTGGCTGTGAAAGCCAAGCCAGCAGGCGTCTCTCATTTGCTGGGAATAAGCTTTAACTTTGAGGGTAGCTGAGGAATATATTACATACCTCACTATGCCTGGTGGTGGTGTTGGCTTGAGGCTGTGCCACATTGCTAGTTCAGCTAGGTGTGATTTATAGCAGCTCAGTTCTTGCCTTTGAAGTGATCTGAAGAAAAGTAACATTGTTGCTTCTAATTAATATCTATGGTTTTAATCTGATAAAAAGATATTCTTTCAAATCCACCGTAATTTAAGAGGCAGTACTCTAGCAGATCCTCCTGCACATTTTGGCTTGATTCACCCTGTGTTTAAAATGTATGCTCCTTCACATTTGTTTTTAAGTGTTCTAAGGAGGAAACAGATACTACAGGATTGAGTAAAAGTTTACGTTGATTTCAAATTGTGTCATAGGCCAAAAAAATTGGAGATCATGAAGAAGGTCAGGAAAACTGCAATTAGAGGCAGACTTTGCACGATGCAGTTTTTTTGAGAATCCAGATGCTGAGTTTTTATATTTAGTTTATATGTGTATATAAACTGAATGTATAAATAAAAGTTTATATTATTTTATATATATTTATATATAATGATAAATGAGAAAGCATTCTGGATACTGTGCAAACTGCAATTGTTTGGTGAAGGAATTCTTATTTCAGTGTGAGGTTTTATTTTTACACAGCATGGCTTCAAAGTCTAAGCCAAGGTTCTTTCATAAAATTTCAACATTTTATCCCTTTGGCAGTTGTGTGTGTACCACAAATACTAACTTTTTAGCTCAAACAACCAATTATCTTTTGTTTACCAGTAAGAAAAAGCTGAATCAACTCTGTAATGCTGTTTTTTACTTTCAGTAAAAAATGCGGAATTTTTGCAGCAAGCTGCTTTAGAAGAATATGGACCAGAACTGCATGTTGCTTTGAGAAGCCGAAGAGATGAACTTCACTACTTGAGAAAACTTACTGAACTTCTTTTTCCTTATATTTTGCCCCCAAAGTCAACAGAGTGCAGGTATATAAATTACTTAGAATTGTGTTTAAAGTGTTTCCATATTATGTAGTACAATCATTTTGGAAAGTGAAAGAATGAACTTCACAGTCACCTTCTCTGTTACCCCTTTTTTATTTTATTTTTTTGGATTTGTCTTTAAAATAGCTTGCTTATGGTATTATTAAATCCTAAAATATTTCCCAGTAGTTTATGACAGAATTGGAAACTTCACTTAGGAATTTATGTAATGTAATATTGCTTTGGATTTTTATTTTCTTTCTTCTGTTTTCTTTTCAGATCCCTGGCCCTTCTGATTAGAGAGATTCTCCCTGGTTCAGTTTTCCTTCCCTCAATGGATTTCTTAGCTGACCCTGTAAGACTTTGGAGCACAAGAATAATCTTAATTTATTTAAAATTACTGTTTACCTACTAAGTATGTTGTGATAAAGCAAATTATGTGCAATGATTTACTTGCTGTGCATTTTGACTAGATAAAAGAAAAAGAAATCTTGTGGCCAATTGTTTTGCTTGTTCATATGAATTAACTCACTGAACTGACTGAAATAACAGTATTGGTGTGGTCCCTTGAGAATGCATTTTTCAGTGAAGGATTACAGCTGCTGTCAAATGGGAGGATGCTGTGCTAAATGTAAACATCTACAAGTTGCTATTGCTACATTTAAAAAGGGCTTGATTACTTAGACTCTAGCTCTGTGGATCTTTATAGCAGTCTTAGTAACCAGCAGTTTTTTGCAGCTTTATTGAAATCAATTTATTTCCCTTAATTCTGCAAATCAGAAAGCATTTATTTCTGAAGCTGCAACACTGCCATCCTTGTTTTCATATATGCATGTATTTTAATAGGCAGAATGACAGTGCTTATGCAGGCATCACCTGGCTGCAAACAGAAAGTACTGTAGGATGGAAGTATTACTAGTTTGTTAGATCTGCACTTAGAGTAAAAGCACCTTGGAGGCCTTTCTTCCACTGGGTAAAGAATATTTCTGTGCAGGTCTTTTCAGAAATTCCCTGACTTGTAAAAACTTGAGACCATTGAAGGTCAGTTCTCAAACGTGTATTGCCAGGCTTTGCTTTTTTAAAAGTATTAATATACTCACGTTTAAACTTGGGTAAAACATAGCATTGAAATTATTTTAATCTATTTTGTTGAGTTTCTTTAACAATATTCTTATTTATTGTGCTGTGTTTCTTGCAGGATACTGTCAACCATTTACTGCTGATCTTCATTGATGATAGTCCAGTGAGTACTGACAAAGTTAAACCAGTGGCATTTTGATCACCCATGAAAGCAGCTTTCTTACCCAGTTGTCATTTTTTTCTGCAGCCTGAGATAGCAACTGAGCCTACTTCTTCATTGGTTCCATTCCTTCAGAAATTTGCCGAGCCAAGAAATAAAAAACCATCTGTAAGCAAAGGCAGCATTTATTTCCTTTCCTGTTTTGAACAAGTGTTTTACTTTACCTGCTGATTTTGTTCTACAGCTCTTTGTGTTATTTATGTGCTGACTGCAAGTTTGAAAGTTGGCTGACTGCCTTTTTAACCTACTCAGGTACTGAAACTGGAGCTAAAGGAGATCAGAGATCAGCAGGACCTTTTATTTCGGTTTATGAACTTCCTGAAACAGGAAGGGGCTGTCCATGTGCTGCAGTTCTGCCTGGCTGTGGGTAAGATTACAGTGTGCTGATGTTACTTGATGATATGGAAATCATTCAGTCATTCTAATGGAACACTGCAATTTGCATCTGGGTAATTTAGGAAGAAAAAATCATTCATATTCCAGGAACAGGCTCATGAACTTATCCTTTCTGTGATAAGGAATAATTTCTTCTAATTGCAATATATTTTTAGTAATAACTTTATAAACAGATCTGAATTATAGTTAATAAGAAGGCAACTCCTTATTACCTCAGATTTTGAGATGTCTTATGTTTCTTTTAATTTTGAAGTTTTGCAAATTACTTACCTGCTGGAAAATTAGTTGATGTTATAGGGTGCTTCAGGATGTTATTTGTTTGCCAAGTTCATCAAGAAATGCGTTTTTCTTTCCTTTATTTCTCAGAGGAATTCAATGACCGAATTTTGAGACCAGAACTATCAGATACTGAAAAGATGTCTCTTCATGACGAAGTACAGAAAATTTATAAAACCTACTGTTTGGATGAAAGCATTGACAAGATTAGATTTGACCCTTTCATTGTGGAAGAGATTCAAAGAAGTAAGTTGGAATTCGAAAGGAATAATGTACATTGAAATTCAAACAACATTCTGTAATAAAGTGAAAAGAAGTTTTGCTGAATATCATCAAACTTTTTTTTGCCAGTTTTAAAAATTATTACTGTGCTATATTGTGCTTAATCCTTGTTTTGTCAATTTATTTACATTTTTATTTATAAAACTTGGAGTAGCTTGCAAAATAACCACAAACTCTGACCAGGAGAAACCATAAAATTTATATGCCTTATGTATATCTCTCTCTATTCATACTTAAATTTTTTTTGATAGTTGCTGAAGGTCCATATAAGGATGTTGTGAAACTTCAGACTATGCGGTGTCTGTTTGAAGCTTATGAGCACGTCCTGTCTCTGCTCGAGAATGTTTTTACTCCCATGTTCTGTCACAGTGATGAGGTAAGCATGAAAGATTGGAAGAGTAGTCTTAAAAGTGAGATTGTTTTTTTTTTAGGATATGCTATTTACAACAGTCACATGTATGTGGAACTGAAAAATACGGCTTCATTTTCCCCTTCAGTTGACGTTCTAGAGCTGGACCATTCTCAGTAGGAAAATAAAATTCATTCTAATCCAACCCATAATCACAGAATAAAAGGAAAACTTCATGGTTTTGATGTAACAATTTGTGTGTATCACAGCTGTTCCAAAATCCTCTCCACCCTGTCTTTATGATTGCAAATTTGGTGCAAAAATAATCTGCCTGATAGGTGTGGACTCAATCTCTGTATTTACTTTTAATAATGTAACGATATTTAAAGATACAAAAGTTGTATTTAGGTTTTTTCAGCATTATGCATTCCTGCAGCTAAAAGTCTGATGTTTGTTTTCAAGAAGATCACTCAATGCAATTTACAAGGTATTTAAGATTGTTGTGAGATTGGTTGCTAAATGCCACCTTAAGAATTCCCTGCGTTGTGTTGATTTTATCTGCCTAAGGCCTTCTAGTAGGACACACTTTATTCACAGGGGTGAGTCTGAATTCATGTTCCTTTCAGAAGTTTGTGTGTAAGTCAGGTGGTGTGTTAAGCTTCTTGCATTTATTTGAGGCAGAATATATTGATTTTTCCAGGATACTTGACTTATTTGGCATTAATAAAAAGAACATTTCTTAAAAATGGTTTTGATGGTCATCTCTCACATGATAGATGTAATGCTTCAAAGGCTTGATTATTTAACAAGGAGGAGACGTGGATTTTGGTGCTTAATTTAATTTTTATTTCTGCTTTGTGGTTTTAATCTCATGATTATGTAAGGTTAAGTAAGTAGTCATAGTCTCATGTATTGATGATTATTGCATGGTCTGTCCTTTTCCAGATTAAAATTCTAATTGCTAGATTATGGTCAGTTTGGATTTTCCTTCCATTCTCATTTCCTGAATTTTGCAATATTGTTGCACAGTAGCCTTTACCTCAATTAATCCAGTGTTTCCTTTGGTACCTTATCTGTCTGCTACAGTACTTCAGACACCTTTTGAGAGGAGCAGAGTCCCCAACCCGCAATTCAAAGTTTAACAGGTAGGTATGGTAGAGATTTTAAGTGGTTTTCTTTGATTTTTAATTTAAAACATCAAAATATTAAACTGTAAGAATTTTGTTATTACCTGATATTAATTTGACTAAGTTTTTAGCTCTACTTTTTTGTTTTTAAATGAACAAATTACATACTAAAGATGCACGCATATTATACAAGACGTCTCTTCTCTTGAAGTATTTTACATTCAGGAATTTAGAATGTGATTTAGACCTCAACATTTGAGAAGAGGGAAGGAAAAAAAAAAGCAGTGAGAATGAGATTATGTGAAAATCAAGTGGTAATTTAATTGGCTGTGTATATGTAGTAGCATTTTAGTGGTGCCAAGCTGTATCTTCTTCACATGTTATAGAGATAGGTACAGTATACCCATGCCAGACCAGCCTGGTTATTTGATGGGAATCTCCTCTTACTGTGACAAGGAGGGTTTGCCACTTCTCCTAGATCAAATGTGTTTTCTGTTCCCCCACTCCATGACAGAAGTGCAGCATCAGAAGCCTTCTTTCTGGGCTTGGGCCTCCTTACTTAGGGTCCAGACCCCCTTCAGGCTCCTTACAGCCTGTGGAGGAGAAGAGCCTCTCCTGTGGTGGGGATGGGTGATCTTCCACTGTGGCTTGGGCTAGGTTGATAAACCTTGAGGTCTCAGAATTTCTTGTGTTTCACTTTATGTTGGATGGCTCTGACAGTCGTGGACTAGCCTGACTGAATTTCTCTTACAGCCTGGCCAAAAGAAGGGAAAACATCAGTGAGACAATCTTTAATTTGGATAGGCTTTCTTTCTTCATATGAAGTAAGATCCATGGTACTCTGGAAAATGCTAATGCTTGTCCTCTTCTAGAGGAGCAACAAGGAGCAACAGTCATTCACTTAACCTTTTCTGCTTTCATTTGAGTTACACCTGACAGTAAACTCCTGTTTCTCAGCCCACTGTGAGATTTGTATTATTGGCACATACCTTTGTTCCCTGCTTCTATTCTTCAAAAATGGGATGATTGTTGTCTTTATTATGTCTCCATGGGTGACATCTTTTATGTAGTCTTTATAGTTTTTGTAGGTCCAGGACTGGAGCTTTGGTGTAGTGCTGTCTCATAGTGGTGCTGGCAAACTTGTGTGTCTTAACAAAGAGGCATGGGATGAAGGCAGCTAACCCAAACTGCATCCTTCCCTACACAGTACTCCTTGTAGGGTGACCTTAAAGACACTTCAGCTTCTTTTGAGGATGGCTCTGGGGTTTCACCTAGACCTTTAAATCTGCCTTCTGCTTTCTTCCTCCAAATTATTCATGTCAGAGATTAGAAGTATTCTGTCATACTTTTCTTAAATCTAGTTAAAATATGAAAACATGTAGGTAACGTCTGGTGCTTGGCTTTTAAAAACAGAAAGGGGGAAGTTACAGGCCATTGCTGCCTGGAGTTTCTGAAATGCATCTCTGGCTACAAAATAAACAAGTTTTGGCAGCTGTTGCAGCGTATTCTCAAACAGCATCCATAGCTTTATTGAAAATGTATCTGGTTTACATTTTAGAACAATTTGAATGCTCTCAGTTTATATGCTGATTTACAGTACAAGATACTGTGTGTTCCAGAAGTGGTGCCTCAGTGATTATTTCCATGAAACTATCTTGCAAGTAGTTTGCCTGTTGCTTTGGAATTTCCCTCTGCAGAATTGTGTACAGTCACTTCCCAGAGGGTGGGGAAAAATCAAGGTTTCTCACAGAATTTTTCCAGATGTTATTCCATTTATTTTGTCCTGCCTTATCTTTCTTATTCTATCATTAGTTCCACTTGAAAATAATTACATGCAAAGAGATGAGTTTTGTTTCCCATATTTTTGATGTGCTTTGCTATGGGTACTGTGTGTGTATTGCTTAGATACTGCTGGTTAAAAAACCAGATCAAGTAAGTATGAAACCCCAGTGGAATGTGCATGAGGGTGGTGTGTTGAAACATTTCCCTTATTGCAAGACAAGAAAATTAGAGTTTCTAGAAAATACAGGTGGAAAAGTAGGAAGAAGTGACATCTGTGTAATTTTTGGTTTGAATCACTTCTTTGAACTGTACAGAACAATCATAGCTTTTTGCAGACAGGACAAATAATGTGCTATAAAAACTGCAAAGGCAATAGGTGGGCAGTGCCAAGGGTTTCTGGAGTGTAAAGAAGTCACATTGAGGTTGTTCTGACAACTTGATAGCTAACTGTGGTTGTCATGAGTTTTAACTCTGTAACTGATGTTTTTTACCTAATATTTAATATATGTGGCCTGTGATAACTGATGTTTTGAGTTCTAGTTCTGCCAACTTCATTTGGGTAGCATGGAAGAGACAAGAAGAATTCCCTCTCCTTCTCTCACATTTATGTATTTATAACACATTGCTACAGTACTTAAATGTAGTCTGTGTTGAAAGGCTTACAAAGAAAGAGAAGCTGTTATGTAGTATGAATTCTCAGATTTTTGTATTTCTGCATATCTGTCTTGATTTTCTACATACAAAAACCACTAATAGAAATAGACACACTCTGGTGTCTCATATTAAATAGCAGTGAAATGAAATAATTTTTTTTGTTAAAGGACCATGCAGAAAAGATACTAACAATTTCAGGGAGTGGTTAGGAGAAAAACCCATGGAATTAAGTCTGTGAAAAGTTCTATGCCATGTAATAGTCATCATCATTTCTAATCTGCTAGGTTATATTTCCAGTTTCACAGTTTACACAGCCAAAGGCAATATAAGATGTCTTCCAATCAGATCCTTCTGTAAAACAAAATCTAAAAATTTAATGTTTTTATCTCATACTAGTTTGTCCAGAATTCAATAATTCAATAGCTCCAATAAATTAAAATCCTGTGTGTGGTGACATTGTTTATAGTTAATTCATTTAAACATCTTGATTGGAATTACCTGGTTGATGTCTGAGGCTTTGGTTCTACGTACCAGGTTATGGAGAATGTAAAAAATGCATGACAGCTCTTTATTTGTGAAATACAAATATTAAAAAGCTTAACTTTTAATAGTGGCTCTTACTATACCTAATACATATATTATACTGTATATATATATATTATACTGTATTATATATGTATATACTGTACAGAGAGGGAGAGAGCATGTGTTATTACACAAGGTGTACACAGCCTTTTCATTGTATTGCCCAAATTAACTTGATTCCTATATGACTTCTGAATATAGGTAGGAGGAAAAGTTAGCTGGCTATTTGGCACTACAGATAACTCTAAGAATGGAAGTTGTTCTCCATTAATTTGTGGTTGCTTGTGCTGAATCTCCTGAAAGTTTCAATATCTGATGGTTCAAATCCAAAGGTGATGATGAGATGATACTGTTCACATTTCACTTTCTTGGGATTCTAGGTCAGGAACTCCTAATTGTACTACCTCTTTTCTTAACCTGTGGTGATGGTCAGACCCTTTTCAATTTTTTTGGAATAGGTCAGTCAGATTTGGTTTGGTTTGGGTTCTTTTGTTGTTTGGCTTTGTTTTATTTTGATTTCCTGCTGGGCTCTGAGGTAATTTATTTGCCTGTTGTTGCAGAAGTAGCCTGAGTTTGGATGACTTACGGTAAGTCTATCTAACACTCAATAAATGTTGTGTGTTAGCTATGCTGCATCTCTCATGACTTCATCATACAACCTTTGTAACAGTAATTAACTGTTCATTTTATTTGTAAAAGACACTAATGTCTTCTCTGGTCTGAGGTGCATTGCTCCTCACAAAAAGCTTTACTCCCCAGTGTTTAGAAATTGCTTGATCACTAATTTCACGTTTGCATTACATTAATATTGTTTGTTGTACATTAACTCTTTGCTTGTCATTTGTTTTGAAATATATTTCCAGAGCTTGAAACATTTTTTTTCTTGTGACTGGTAGCTGCTCCAAAATTTCCTTTGCTCCATGTCATATTGTTATCCACTTAGGTGCTTGTTTTATCTTGCAAGCTGTGTGATCTGGAGTGATCATTGTCTAACATCACTTGCAAATATAACCAGTTTATGATTTTTAAGCACTCAAACCCAACAGCTGTGACTGTTACAGGTTTGATGACAACATATGCTAGTTTTTATAATTTGCTGTAGGTAGTATATGACCACTCATTAATGCCTTAGTAGCTGTCCAGTGGTTTGTTTTCTCATTAATCATGCCTCTTTAAATACATGGTATCCAAACTCACAAAACAATCTTTTCCTCATGGACTTTTCCTTAGAATTTAACAGAGGGATAAGTATGACATAGTTTGCTCATATTAGTCTTGAGGAGAAATTTTTCAATTTTTCAAGCTAAGAATCAAGGTAATTAGATGCTTTTATATTTTATGTGCCAGTTCAGCATGTTGAGCTATAACTTGCTTGATTGTTGAGGAATGAGGAGTTCTTGAGTTATAAATGCAGCTCATTGATTTTCAAGTGCAGCATTTCTCCTGACTGTGTGTAGGGAGTTTAGTCAGCCAAAGGAAATGGTAATATGACTTCACATGCATGTTGGTATCTGCCTTGTCTGATATATACAACTGGTCTGGTCCTTCTTGACCCAGAGAGGCTCACAGCATCATTCTTCAGCCGCACAGCCCTGGCTCATCACCTGCCAGGGTCTGTTCAGTGCACTGGATGAGGCAGGCATCCTGTGGGAAAATGATTTTGCAGCCATCCAGGACTGAAGAATGTCACAGTGCACAGTGGACTTCTTTAGTCTGCAATTCCCTGTTACAGAGTAAACGATAATTGTAATTTTTTTAATGTTAGGTATGTGTTACTTTTGGAATGTCTGAAAAAAATAAGTGTTCCAAGCTCTTGCTGTCACATCATTCTTCAGGAATGTTGGAGCCTGTAGACTCTGCACAGAGGGCCCTCCTGAGAAAGCAACTATAGAATGATGGTATAATAATGCTATTATATGGATTAGCACTAGAGGGAGTGAATTAATTTTCCATCAAGTTTTGGATGTATATACATTTGTTGACAGGTCTTAAAAAAAGTCTTGTCTCTGTTCTAAACTGGCTACCTCCTGTCATCTTTGGTCCTTCTTGTCTTGAACCTGCCCCTGTCCTAGTCCCATCTTTCCTTCTACCTAGTCTCAAGGTCTTTTTCTATTTCTGCTTAGCCAGTGAATCTGTTAGATTTTCATCATGATACCTTTTGTATATATATTTTTTATTGTTCCATTTCTTTGAAGTGTCAAGTCATCCTGTTGTCAGTCCATCCATCTTTGGTAACATCCACACATTTCTTTTCCATGCTCATCTAATGTGATTTGTAATCAAGGGTTTTTGCCAAACCAGTCCTGTGTTCTCTCCATATATAATGGAGAGTGTCTGTGTACGCTCTCATTCACTGTGTTTGTTCTGAATTTGTCACTTCCTGTGAAGAGATTCCCCTTCTTGTTTGTTACTTGATACTTGTCCAGTTCAGTGATTGCTTTTTATTCACATGGTGTAGTCCATGGGCTCTGTGTTGGGGCTGGAAGGGTTGGTTCCTGGCTGCCAGGTTGAGTTCTGGCTGCATACAGTTCACAGGGGAATGCTGCTTTCACCTGCAGCATGCTCAGTGTGGGGAAGAACTGGTTTGAGACTGGAGTTCTGTCAAATCACTGATCTTGTGCAATCAATGTTTTTTGCTCAAACTCTTGAGAACTGCACTAGTTTTCAGAGGAATTATGAAAATTCCCTTCAAGGTTAAGCCAGAGGTCTGAAATACCAGCCTTCCAGAAAAGCTAGTTTTGTCTGATGAAGGTTTGTGTTTTCTAGCCCAGTGTTGAAGCACTTGAACAAGATTCAGGCAGGGTCCCCTATGTGAAACAGCTCAGTTCAGCACAGTAACATGTAGTAGGAGTTGTTCAAGAATGGAGTAAGATTTTTCAAATATGGATTTAGATTGCAAGCAGCCATGCAACCTTGTCATTGCATAGACAAGACAATCAAGATAGATGGTGCCAGTACACTTTGGAGCTGATGATTAGATGAGATAGAAAAAGCAAAAAAATTGGGAAAACAGTGGGTTATTTATGCAATTTCAGTCATGTACACAGTCTGTGTAAGATTGTAAACAGGAAGGTGGTTAGGAACATGCATGTACATGCTTGGAGTCAGCAGCTGGTGTTGTCTGCATGGTTTTATGAGTGATGAATGTGCTTTACCTGCTGATTGCTGCAGTTCTCTTTGTAATCCCTTCCAGAAGTCCATAGTTTCTTGTTTTAAAAGGAAAAAGAAACAAGATTGTTTGTCCTCCAAAGTACTAGTTGTGCATCTAATAGCAATCTATAAATTGGTTTTGAATGTTTGATTCTGAGGTTCCCTGTATTGATTTTTAACTTGTCTTTCAACTGTATATATTAAATCACCATAAGGATCCTCAGGCTGATTCTGTATTCAACAGAAACATTTTTCTTTCCAAAATTGCTAGTATTTCTATGCAAGAAATAATCTTCAGTGTCAGGACTTTTGTAAGGGCATAAGAATGATAAAAAATCTGTTCTGTCAGTGAGGAGTGTGCTTGCTGCCCAAGTATTTGTGTATTTTTTAGTCCCATACCTGGTTTGTTGGCGTTTGGACGCTTTGTCATAAGTGGCGAGACTTTAAAAACTCTTCATCTTTCGGTCAGACTGGCTCTTCAAAGCAGGATTCCTCAGTTGCATCTGTTTTCTCTCATGCTTAGTCTTGCTCCTTGCATGCTCCTTTTATCTGTCTCTACTGCTTAAAAACTGAAGTCTATCTTGAATGATATGTGCTTGTAAAATTCCATTTAAAAAAATGCATCTACACTTGGTAGAAGGATAAATATTTAAATACAAGTACAAGGAAAAGGACAAAGTTAATGACCTACTTGATGTGCATGCCTGTAGCAATACCCCAGTTTCTGCTGTCAAAACAAAGTTGCTTTACGTAGCTAATTGTTTATTCTGTGTCATCAATTACTAGGATACTATTTTGAGAGTTTACTTATGGTTAAGCATATGGGAATCCTGTGTCTCTTAAAAAGTGTAATCAAGAAAGTCTGGTGGTTGATCAGAGAACAGATATACCATAAATGAATTTTAAAGAAGTGGAACTGTAAATATGTTGGATACCTGTTCATAGAGTTGTTTCTCTTATCTGCAAATGGTGTGCAATGGCCTAATGAGCAGCTTTAATAATATGCCTTGTGTTGTGAACTGTGGCTTCTGTAATCCTAGGACCACACAAAAGAGAGGAGAATCATTTGGAATCAGCAAAATAGGAAACAAAATAAAAGGTGTATTCAAGAGTTCTGCAATGGAAGGAGCTATGTTGCCTAACTATAACTTAAATGAAGGAGAAGATGATTTTGTGAGTAGAGCTAATAAATTTTACTTGAAGTCTTTGCTGGGCTTTGCTCCTTTGCTTATTTGAAAATGTTGAATTTCTGCTTTCTTCACTGCAGTTTTCATGTCCTGGTTTCTGATGAGGTTGCCTTATCTTCCCTCTATTCATTCACAAGCCAAGGTCACATGCCCAGTTTCTGTGCTTCTGAGCTTATTGTTTTCGTAATACCAAAAGAGAAATACCAAAAGTAACAGTGTCAGATGTTTTTGTTAGCAATGACTTTTTCTCCAGTTCTAGGTAGTAAGGCATGCACAAGCCTGTGTGCATGGCTCTTCATCTGCAGCGTGCCACAAGACTTTAAAACCATAAATAACAGCGTAGAAATCACTGTCATGTTGGTCTGTGATGGAGCATTCTCTCTATAGATCAGAAGCCAATAGTCCTTTCTCCTTTGTTTTGGATATCTCCCTGAGTTAATGTTTTTCTTCCATGCTCAATAGTCATGAATAGAGCCAATGTTAGAATTTACTGCACGGGATATTGTTACCTTAACCACAGTTGGAGGACAAATGGAAAATTTGAAAAAGGGAAGTGGAGGGAGTTGGTTTGAAGCAGAGGTAGACTGTACCAATTAAAATAAACTGAAGATCTCTGTTTGAATCCTTACAGATTGAAGAAGGTGTTATGGTGATGGAAGATGATTCTCCTGAGGAGGCTGTTACCACCCCAAATACACCCCGCAACCTTGCTGCTTGGAAAATCAGCATCCCATATGTTGATTTTTTTGATGATCCCTCCTTGGAAAGAAAAGACAGAAAGGAGAGAATTCCTGTATTCTGCATTGATGTAGAGAGAAATGACAGAAGGGCAGGTACGCAATGCTGCAGATCAATAAAGTGTCATTTGAAACTGAACTCAGAATATTCTAGTGTGCTGTATTCTGTTGACTCTTGCAAGTGTGTTTTTTATATGTGTTCTTCTGATTTCAAAATAATGGCTTGAAAGTTCTGAGGAAATGAGTTTGGGAGATAAATGATCGCATTTAGCATTTGCAAGTTGAGAACTGACTCCTCAGCATGAATCAGTTCTATTTAGACTTCATGCCAATTTTGAAATGTTCTCTTTCCAAAAATACTTATCTTAAAATTCATATTAATAAACACCTGTCATATTTTTTTTACCCACTCTGAACTTTGGAATAATGAACAACAAATAATTTTTTATATAACCTTAAAGTTAGTTCTTAGGAAATGAAAATGATGTGCTTATTAGGAACCATTGTGGCGTGCAGTTAGTTTACCAGTATCTGGATAGCAATGCATCCATATGGAGAGGGTGGAAACAGCATCATCTTAAGGCTACTGGGATTTATCTTAGTGAGACTAATGCTTCCACAATAAGTAGAAAGTATTTAAGAGGCATTTAGTGGTATCTTTAGTGATAGGATTAAGAATCATCAGCATTCAAGTTGGTGGTGCAGAGGACTGTATTCAGCCAGTACTATTTCTCTAAATCATTTGGTTCAACACTGGAAAATAGATCTAATGTAGTCAGCCATCATTAATGCTGAAGTTATGCAGGACTCCATTGTTTAGATTGTGGTGATCCCATAAATCATAATTTCCTTGCTAGTACCATATCTGTCTACCAGTTATGCATTTTACTGTAACATTGAAAGTACCTTGAGGTTTATGTTACTACAATAGGGGGCTAATGTCATTGAGGTTTTTCTTGTGACAATCAGCATATGTTTGCTGTTCCTGATTTGTCTTCCAGGTGCCATAAAACCTGGTTTATTTTTAACTTTTTTCTTTTTTTACCAGTTGGACATGAACCTGAACATTGGTCTGTCTACAGGAGGTATCTTGAATTCTACGTGCTTGAATCAAAACTTACAGAATTTCATGGTACGTTGTCTGTCATTTGGAAAGTCATTTTCTCCCTGCTGTGATTATCATTCATTACTTAGATTAAATTTAAAATAATAAAATCAGTTTTTACTGCACAAGAATAATTTAAACTCCTTGCTGTGTTTACTAGGTACATTTCCTGATGCTCAGCTTCCCTCAAAGAGAATCATTGGCCCCAAGAACTATGAGTTCTTAAAATCCAAGAGAGAGGAGTTTCAGGAATATCTGCAGGTATCAAACAAACATTTGGAGCAAAGAGTATTCTAAAACTAATGGTATAAAACTAATAAAAGAATATATGGGTTTTTTTGTTCCTTTCCCAGTAACTATACAGGTACAGAAAGGATTCAAGTGGGCAATGGTAAAGTTTCACATGACTGAAAATAGAAATCTCTCGCAAATGACAATATCTGTGACAGTATAATACTTTTTGAATATCTTTTTACTATTCAGAAATGGATTTTTAAGGTAAATTTTAAAGTACTTATACCTCCTTTGTTCCTTTTGTTTCAAAGAAACTTCTGCAACATCCAGAACTAAGTAACAGCCAGCTTTTAGCTGACTTCCTATCCCCTAATGGAGGAGAGACACAGTTTCTTGATAAAATGTTGCCTGATGTGAATCTTGGTATGTAATATGCTATTTGTTTATGCTGACAAATAGGAATGCTGTGGATGCTGTGATTGAATTCTGTGATTGACTGTAGTAATGAATAGATAACTCTTGTGGATGTATGAAATAAGAACTGTGCTCCTTCACAGCCCCTAAAATTATAGCTCAGCAAGGAAAATATGCTGATAACTTCTTCCTTGAAGAAAAGAAACCATTTTGAAGTTATGGCAAAAATTGCCCAAGTGGCTTTTGAATTTTTGTGTCAGCAAGCAAGATAAGGTTTCTCTAAATAAATTGCATAGTTCAAGAAAATTTACAGTGTTGTCACAGATCAAATCTGCATGTGTCTGTCCTTGTTTGCAGATGAGATGGTATGATCACTTACAAAACTACCTTTGGATTTTAATTGATCAAACTCCACTTATTTTTTTATTCTGAAAACTCCAGTACTTGATATTTCTAGTATTAGGTGGTGTTAAGATATTTCCTAACATGAGCTAGTTAATGGAATCTCTGTGTGTGATACAGGCAGGTCAAGTGGAAATTGAGAAGTTCTAATGACAGTAGTTCATAATAAATCAAAAAAGTTGACTGTAGTGTGACTTGGCTGCAGTGTAGCTGTCTCAGAATAGTGGGCCTGAGCTGGTCAGGTCAACCTCATGGCCATTCTGTCTCCATGACTTGTGCCACCTGTGGCTGTGGTCCCAGAGAACCGTGTCTGAGCTGCACTGCTGCCTTTCTGCAGCTCCTGGTCACGGTGTGGTCCTGCTGGGGCAGCCCTTCTCTTGGTCTGCTTCATGAGTTGTGGAGTGAGATTGCTGTTCTCAACCTTCACTCAAAAGGTTTTGGTTTTGTTTCAGGTCTCCCTTCTAGATCCAACTGTGCATCCTTATAAAAGTTTATAATTATGGTGTTACTGTAATGCTTTTCCTGTCTGAGACAATGCTTCACTTCCATAAAGAGCATTATAACAAGTCTTGGCATTTTGGTAGGGCTTTTTGTGAGGATGAGAGTTTTTATTGTTATCATTTGATCATTGTACATACTTTTCAGTGTAAATTCCAAATTTAATGACGTGTAGATAAGAAAAGATATTACTGCAACTGTAGTGCTTAAAATAAAACTGGTCCGAGACACTTTCATTTTTCAGCATTCAAAGTTCCTGTGCCATATCCTGATAGCCTTATCAGGACCTAAGAGCTGATCTTTCAGGCCATGGCTGTAACCTGTCCAGTTCAGAAAATTCTACTCACCAGAGTTTTTGAGGCTGGTTCACCACAGAGTCTCTCCATATTTGCTGACTTTTCTACAGGAAGAGGAGAATCTGAGTTGTCTTGATTTCTTCTGTGATAAGTGTTTATGATTCTAGGAGTAACTTAAATACAAGTAATTTTGCCTGTACTGGTGTTGAAGCAGTACTATTGTTACAGTGTTAGAGCTATTTATGATTAAACTCTGGAAGAGTTAAGAGGCAGAGCTACAGTACTTTATTGTGGGGTTTTTAAAAAGTATTCAGATTAATAATCTGTATATTTCGAAGTATATTTTCATGAAGAGTAATAATCACTAGGTTACAAGCTGGTTATGTGCAAGACTGTTTTCATAGGGTTTTGTGCCAAATCAAAACAAAAGCGCATGTTTTAAAATTACGGTATTTTTAAATGACTGATAGAGAATGAGTACATAATATCTAGCAGAGCAAAATGTCTTTCAAATCAGACAGTGATAACAGAAAATATTGTTTCTTTCTTTCTAATTATAGGTAAAATCATAAAATCTGTTCCAGGAAAGCTGATGAAAGAGGTGAGTGAGTCTTTCAGGTTGCCAATATCTTAACTTCATTAGGTAATTTTGAGATCACTGAATTACAGGCTAATCAAAACTTTGTTTAAAAATTCTTGATTTTTTTGTTATTTTTGTTTTCACTTTCCTATAATTATGCATGTGACAAGTCACTCATATCTTTTTTCAGAAAGGTCAGCATTTGGAGCCTTTCATCATGAATTTTATCAACTCCTGTGAATCTCCCAAGCCTAAACCAAGCAGGCCTGAACTTACCATTCTGAGTCCCACTTCTGAAAATAACAAGAAGGTACAGTAAGTCATGTTCCTTTCCCATTTTACAGAAGTGGGGAAAACTGACCATACGTTTTCTCTCATACTAGGAAGCTGTCTTAGAGCTCATTAACTAAAATTATTTCAGATGAAGCCAAACTGGAGAATGCTGTCTAGGAATGCAGACACTGAGGGTGTTCAGTCCATCCAAAGGCCAGACCAAAAGGAGACTCAGCAGTGACACACTTTCCTGCTCCCCAGATGAGCTGTTCAGTTCTGCACTTTCACTTCTCTTGTGAGATGTGACATCTTCGTGCACATGTGTAGCCTACCAGTTCCTGAGGGAAGGCTACAAGAAGGATGGAGTGGGACTTTTAGAGCATTTAGTGGCAGGACAAGGGGAAATGGAACTGAGAGTAGGTTTAGATTAGATATTAGGAAAAAATGTGTAACTGTGAGGGTGGTGAGGCGCTGGAGCAGATTGCTCATAGAGGTTGTGGATTCCTCATTCCTGGAAGTATTTAGTGCCAGACTGGATGGAACGCTGGGCAGCCTGGTCTAGTGGAAGGTGTCCCTGCCCATGGCAGAGGGTTGGGACTAGGAGATCTCTGAGGTCCTTTCCAAGCCAGTCCATTCTGTGATTCTGTGCAGTAACTGCTGTGCAGCAGCAAGGCACCTCACTCCTGGTGAAGGAGGTGAATGCCAAATGTCTGTTCCAGGACAGTGAGAGCTGCCTGCATGGAGTTTGTGTGGCGATCTGGCAGGTTCTTGAGTGCCCATTTGGGAGAAGAGCACATTATCTCAGAGCAAGAGAGTTCCTCAGGGTTTTGGTAAATGGTGGTTGACTTCCAGCTTATGCTTGTGTTGCCACAGTGTTCTCATGTGTATTTTCTGACACAGGTCTGTTTATTTCAGTTTCAGCACGTTGGACTGTGCTGAGATTACAATGCACCTTCCCCAGTGCTGCCATGAGTGGGTACCTGCAGGCTCTCTCTGCCTCAGCAGGCTGAAAAGGAAATGCCTGAAGGTCTGTCTGGGCAGGCCCGGTCAGAAATGTGCCGAATGCTCTGGCAGATCTTCTGCATGCTCCTTCCTTTTGAGTGTTCCTTGGGTGTGTTTATGTTTGTGTAGTTTAAATATTGGTGGAAAGATTTCTATTTAAAAATGTACAATGAAAGTGGGTAATCAACCCCAATATAACCAGGAGCAATTGGATTTCATTCCATATCAGATCCACTAGAAATAACAGTTACCAACTTGCCTAGTTAAAAAAAAAACAAACAAAAAACTCTGCTTCCCCCTCCTAGGGGCACTAGCAGGATTTCTGGTCATGTTTTGGTTCTGAAGGTCTGTAAGCAGCTTGATCATCTTCTGAGAATACTTTTGTCAGACTTGCTATAATAGGTCAGGACTTCTCAGCTGATGCAGACTTTGCAAAGATGCCAGTAAAGGCGTTGTTCTGCTGGCTTGTGATGGCCTGCCAACAGCAATAAAAGCTGGTTTTGGAACACCAGCAGTATAATAAATGTTTTTGAGTAGCTACTTGAAGGAAGATGTGGACGCTTTGACTGATATGATTCAGAGACTACATAAAATCTTTCTTCTTATTCTTTTGATATCCTCTGTACTTTTTAAATGAGCAGGAAGAACAGGAGAGAGGTTTATGCCTCTGGCTGTAGATATTGTTCATAGTCATGTTATTGTTTTTGTACAGTTCACACCTGTGCTGGAATGTATGGGTGTATGTTTGCATATGCACTCACCATTGAGTAACTTTTTCTGTGAGGCACTTTCTATGAGCATTCATGCTTCCTTTGCTTGCTTTTCCCAGTAAGGCATGGTAGCCTATTGTACAAGGGATTACTTTGGTCTTTTGTCTTTCACTGACTTCAAGAGCTCAGCTACCACTATTAATCAATACAAATTCATGGAATTTCCTCATTGTAAACCTTTTAAGAATATTTCATAGTTATAATTAGTGTTTAATCTTAAAGATACAAATAATGACAGCTTTGAGGTTTGTGGTGTTAGTCTCAAATATTAACACGCACAGAAACATCTAAAGCAAAATCGTGTGCTTATCTGAGTTGTGAGTATAATCTCAACTTCTGTGTTAGATAACCAGTTGTGTGCTTTTCACTTGAATTTCTTCTCTGCCAAGATACTGGAAAGTGTAAAACATGGAAGTGGAGGTCTAATGCCTCTTGGTATTATGGCTGCTGCAGTGCATTGTAGATTGCATTCTGAAATGCTTTCAGAGTGTGCCGCTGCTCAAGGAACCATTGCTGTTTAAGGTGCAGCACAGATCATCCATGTATGGAGGTACAGTCAGCATTCAGAAGATGCTGCTTCTGGTTTGGGGTGAAAGAAGAAATAGCACTTGAAATCAAGAAGCTTTGCCCTAAGCTGGCCTCCATGTTTGGTTTTTGTATGGGTTTACCTACCAGATTGCTGTGAATGATTTAGTTTGGCCTCCAGACACTGAACCTGTGTCTGCATTGCACAATGGGCTGCTTTGAGTTGGCTCAGTATGTGTCACCTTTGTCAGGTTGTGAGGTGTGTCTAAAAAATAAAGGAGGCTCTTGTTAAGTTACAATACTACAGCTAAGGTTACTGTGCTTTTCTGGTTTCAGTATTATGGAGGATGTAGACTTCAGTTTATATGGAGTTTTTTAAGCAACCTACCAGGGATGCTTCCATAAAGTAGGTGTGAATAATTATGTGTTATGTTTAGGTTTGTTACATTCCTGGATACCAGTCATCCACCAGTGCATTAGCCATATTTGCCCTTCTGTGTAATTTATGTAAGAAGTTGGTGGTGTTTAGTTTGAGTGAACGTTGTGAAGGTAATACCAGCAGCTCAGTACTTAACTAAAGAGAGGGCCTGAAGGAGTACAGGTCAAAAACCTGACTCTTGCCAGATGTCCTGATGTAATTTTTCGTAAGAGTGCAAAGCATTCTGTTTAGAGACTTGTGTGATGTTGTGATTTGCACGTTTTTGGCTTTGTTTATTTTGGGGAGAATTGCAGTACAGAAGGTGAACCATATATAAGCAAATTACTTCCTGTTCCTTGGAACTAATGCTATTTTGGGAGTGGTAAAAAAACCTCTCTGAGTGGCAATCACCTCAGCTTAGGCAATTCTATGATTATGTAGCATTTGCTTCTAGTTCCAGGATTTTTTTTAGAACCCTGGCATAAACTTTTGAACTTTCTTTTCATAATAGTATGACAGAGTATCTTGTATAAATCCTATTTTATATCTAGATTAACTATTTTGGGGGTAAGTTAATTTAAAATAAACTGCTGGTAGGGATTGCTAGATATTAAGCATGGAAAGCATCAGGATTTAGATCCTGATTTTTCCTTTCCTTCTCTTTAGATTCCCACACTTGGGGGCAGGGGAGGCAAGGATTGCTGCCTAGGTGATTTGGGACCCCTTTTGCTGTGCAGGGAAGAGCCTCTTGGAGTTTTGCAAGAATTAGAGTATCTTTTCAGAAAGAACCAAAGGCAAGGAAATAAAGGGATCAGGGAGGAAGGTGATGACATAGGAGAATAGAAGGCTAAAGGAATATAATTGAGAAATTAGGTAAATGGAAAGAAACCTAAATGTTAGTTCATGAAGATTTTACTATAAATAATTAAACTGGCAGGGCAAAAAGGTTATTTCTCTATGTAAAAACTTGTATATTTTGTCTAGAAACCATTGTATTTATTTCAAGTGGAAGCCAACAGGAACTTTTAGGAGTACTTTGTTGTTGTAGGCTTCCCTTGTGATTTAAGGCAGACAAACTCTGTATTGTCTTAGCCCCTCATTTTCAGAGCAGGGTGCATCAAGGAAATCAGAGCCTATGACAAAAATCGAGATGCATGCAATCCTGCAATTGTTTAGGTTGGAAGAAGGTAGTGGGAGCAGAAAAGCTCATTAATTAATGTCCCTGTGCTGATTTATTGTGAACTCAGGTATTTTGATTGTTGTGTATCTTGGCAGCATGGGATGTGCTCTTTATTGGAAAGTGAAGCATTTTAAAAAACAAAACCAGAAACAATGAAACAAATCAATACCCTTAATCAGTTCTTTGAAAGCTGTGGAAAGAAGCTGCTTCTATAAAAATAAACCAATCCAAAGAACTGGTGGCTATCCTTTTGCCTTTGGATGCAGTGTTTCAGTCTTATGTTTCTGTTTTTAGCTTTTTAATGATCTGTTCAAGAACAATGCAAACCGGTCTGAGAATACAGAAAGGCGACAAAATCAGAACTACTTCCTGGAAATGATGACTGTAGAAGGAGTCTATGACTACTTAATGTATGTTGGTAAGAAGTGATTTCTCTTAATTATTCATATACTTCATGGCAAATACAAAGTTCACAGTCTCTGGTAAGAAATGAAATCCCATTGTAGCAGTCATATATAACTCAACACTTTCAAGCTAATATACAACTTAGTGACATGGCCATTCCTTAGAAGACTTTATTTATTTACTGTGGTGCTAAAATGTCATTTATCATTCATCATTGCTTAGTTGCTTTGTTATGTCTCCATCTTTCAGCATCTCAGTAGTATGAGTTTATGAGAGTAGGTCTCATCCCTTTTCTCAGGCCTACCTAGGCTGCTGGTAGACTCTGGGAATTGGAATTGTTAAATTAATAGAAATAGCTAAAGGAAGTATATGATAAGCACTGTGGAGAATACTGATATTTTCAGTGCTGCATTGACAAAACTGAAATTTTTTTTATGCTTGCAGTGTTTTTTTTTTCTTTTCTTTTGAATAAATGATTCTTTTAGCAGGTATAGCAGGAGACCCTCATGTGTTACTACTCATAGATGTTGCTGTGACTTTGCAGGTAGGGTAGTTTTCCGCATTCCTGACTGGCTGCATCATCTCTTGATGGGAGGAAGAATTCTCTTCAAAAACACGTTGGAACTCTACACAGACTATTACTTGCATAACAAGTTAGAACAGCTATTTGAGGAGCACCGGTTGGTTTCTCTGATAACACTACTGAGAGGTCAGTAATAGTTACATCTTTGAAGGCAAAATATTGCTTTAGTCTGGTGTTTGAAATCCCTTCAGTGAAGTTTCCGAGTGCTAAACTTTGCCATGCTGACTAACACTGGTGGATTATTAAAAATCAAGTGGGCCTGGACTAACTTCAGAGCTTGTTGTGGAAAGATGTTGAGCCACCTATGTTGTCAGTGATGGTTACAGAAAGTATTATGAATAGTAATTTGCTTGGGTTTGCAAAGAACAAGAAAAACAGAATAAAGTGGTTTAGTGCATCAAGGCAAATGTTTCATGAAGTTGTCAAGTTACTTCACTTGTGTACTACATCAATCTTTTATTGTTAATTTTTTGGTTCCCTTTGTTGTGGTCAGCTCTTGAGAGGGCTTGAGTGTTCCTGACCTTCAAATAAGGGAAGAGGAGAGTGACTAAAAAAAATTTTAAATTGCCTCACAACTGTAGAGTATTATGTGACTGCATTCCGATCCAAGCACTGCATCTGGCCAAAACTCTGGATTCAGGACAGCTCTGTCCTTACCAAACCAAAAATGAAGCTTGTGAAAGGCAAAAAAGGAGTGCAGTAAGACTTCCAAAGCCTAAAAGCAAAACTGAGCACCTGTTACTTCATATTAATAGCAATACTTGCTTCCTCATTCATAGCTAAATTTGAAGTTTTTGACAGTTCCAGACAGTGTTTTAGCACAAGCTGTAAATACTGCTTGTAGTTTTGAAAGCATAGGGGAAATTGTGATTAAGGAGATCATAACTAACCTAAAATGGAATTGATCCAAAGTTAGAATTCCTCAAACTTTGAAAAGAATGGAAACAAACTGTGAAAAGATGATTGTCCTTCAGATGGGATTGTCCTTCAGATGATGTCCTTCATTCTGGGTTTGATCGGGCTAATGTAAGCAAAAAATATGATCTGACAAGACTAGAATTCCCTTCTAATCAACACAATACAGAGAAGTTCAGTTTTGAAGCCACAATCCAGAGCACATTTCTGTGTCAGTGATGTGTAGCTGCCTAAAGATACATTTTTTTTTTCCGTGTGTCTTCTCTGCAGATGCTGTGTTCTGTGAGAACACTGAGCCTCGCTCTCTCCAGGACAAACAGAAACGAGCAAAGCAGACTTTTGAAGAGATGATGAGATACATTCCAGGTTCTGTATTCTATGACTGCCTGTATGAGTGTGGTTAATTGTTCAAGCAGATATTTAACCCAAACACAGTCAGACTGTCTTTCCAAATCAAATAATGCTTGGGCTGCTGAGATTTGAGTTTACTGGAATACTAGGTGTAAAAACCCAGCAGTTGAGTTTTGTCATTTAACTGTTGCTGACTAAGGCTGTAGCATAGTGATTATTTAATAAAGACATGGCGATGGAAATCAAGAACTTTAACATGTACTTAGTACTGTAATTTTTCATCTTTAGAATGTTCCTATGGTTTGTATTTTATACAGATGAAAACTGTGTTAAAAAAAGGGCACATCATTAAGCTGGAAGGTACATCTGAGTCCTTGCACTGTATAAGCTAGCAAAGAGGGGCCAATTTAATTGAAAGTAATGTTTAAAAATCCACTTGTGGTTTATTAAACAGTGCATTAGAACAAAACAATATTACAGATATTACAGAAAATGTAGTAATTATTTAGGTGTGGAGCCCTGAAGGAAAGTGAGGAGAAAAGTATGAACCCAGAAGTGTGCTGTTTTTTTCCTTTTACCATTTGAGACAGAAAAGAAATTGAACTCTAATTTAAACAGTTTTTTTTCTTATTAATTAATCAAGTTCTATAAGTGCATCATAAAACTGCTTTGCAGTACTTCCTCATGATTTGTATATTTGTTTTTGGAATTTGGTCTAGATTTAATAGGCAAGTGCATTGGGGAAGAGGCTAAATATGAAGGCATCAGGCTTCTGTTTGATGGACTGCAGCAACCAGTGCTCAACAAACAGGTAACTCATAACATGTGACAAACTGGCCTTCTGGCACAGGATTTCCTAAAGTGAGTGATTGATATAGCAGAGGAGTGGTCGCTTACTCAGAACCAAGAATAAAAAGCAGTAGTTTTGCCTTGGAGTGTCCTTAATTTTCTGTATTTTCTTTTAGTTAACTTACGTTCTGCTGGACATTGGGATTCAAGAGCTCTTCCCAGAGCTGTGTAAGGTATGTGCTAACTCCATTCAAGAGCTGCAGAATTCTTCAAGCTGCTACTGAGTCTGATCACTGGTACACTTTTGCTGTTGTTATTACTAATATTAATTCTTAATTGTGGGGGAAATTATGTGTTTTCCAGTATGTTGAAATAATTGAAATCCAGATTACTTACATTTTGGCTAATTAGCTCTTTCTAAATCACCTCAAGCCCAAATTGTTCAGCATGCAGCAAGTCTGAGTTGCCTTTCTGGAGAGTTGGACAGATCAACAAGCAGTTGGGATCTCTGTGCCTTTCTCTTTGATTGATTTGTCTCCACTCTATTTTATGCATTTTTCAATTTAGGAAGGGAATTCTGCATGCAAAGTTGAGGTCCAGCTGCAGTATTTTTCTCAATAATATCTGGCAGGAGGATTTCTTACCTCTAATTTGGTCACTGCAATGTTAACTTCAGCTATCCAGATAAAGGAGAAAGAATTTGCATAAGAGAAGTGGCTGTATAAATGCATATCATTAGGTTTGGGATCTGTCTGGTATTTGTTCTTGTGTATATCAAACCTTGACAGATTTTTACATAGCAGTTTTACAGTTTGGTCTTCATGGCAAGCAGGAAGTACCTGCTAGTTAGCTAGTAAAAAACAAAGCCCCAAGCAAATTTTAAAAGCCCCCTCACTAACAATAAATGTTCGTTGCATGAACTCTGTGCCTGACAACTGCAGAGTGCTAGCAGTGATTTGTTTTGCATGACAAACAGAAACAAATACAAGGTCTTGGAACAAGCCAGGACACTTGCATTGTTTTCAGTGAAATGAGGCTGGCTCAGCAAGTCTGACCTACTTTGTGTCAGCTCTGTAGCTGCCCTCCTCCAGCCAATGCTCAGACAGCTGACCAAGGGAGCAAGGAAGTAGCTTGGGAACTGGAGTGCAGAAAAAGGACCTGACTTAGCCCTGCTATTTTACTCAGCTGAACTGGTTTTGTATCTCAGCAGCTAATTATATATATTTATTGGAACACTGGTCTTTCTTCAGTTGGTTGTGGAAAAAATGAGTGGCATTTAAATAGTCTTTAAAGCACCAGTCAGGCCCAGAGGGTGGTGATCAATGGAATGAAGTCTGGTTGGAGGCAGGCCAGTAACATGGAGTTACTCAAGGGGTCAGTCGTGGCTCCAGTCCTGTTTAACAGCTTCATTAATGATCTGGATGATGGGACAGAGCAAAGCCTGATGATGACACAGAACTGGGAGGAGTGGCTGGTACACCAGGGGGCCATGCTACCTTCCAGAGGGACCTAAACAGGCTGGAGAAATCGACTGGCAGGAACCTCATGAACTTCAAGAAAGGGAAGTGCAGAGTCCTGTTCCTGGGCAAGAACAGCCCCAGGTGCTAGGATGGGGCCAGGCAGCTGGAAAGACACAAGGTGGAACAAAGGGCTGATGGTATCCTGGGCTGCAGTAGGAGCAGTGTTGCCAGCAGGTCAGGGGAGGTGATGGTGCCCCTCACCCAGCAATGGTGAGGCCACACCTGGAGTGCTGGGCTTCCCAGTACAAGATAGGCGTGGACATACTGGAATATATCTGGTGGAGAGCCATGAGGATGATGAAGGAACTGGAGCATATTTCCTGTGAGAAGAGGCTAGAGAGCAGGGACTGTTCAGCCTAGAGAAGAGAAAGCCCAGAGGGTCTTATTGGTGTCTATAAATACTGAGGGGATGGTATGAAGACAGAACCAGTGGTGGCCACTGACAGGATCAGTGGCGCCAGGCACAAACTGGAACACCAGAGGCTCCCTCTGAACATCATGAAACACTTCTTCACTGTGAGGGTGACCAAGCACTGTCACAGGTTGCCCAGGGATGCTGTGGGATGCTTGTCCTTGGAGGTATTTAAAAACTGTCTGGACATGGTCCTGAGCATCTCTAGGAGGCCCTGCTTGAGGTCTGGACCGGGTGACCTCCAGAGACACCTTCCAACCCCAGCCACACTGTGGTTTCATAGCTGTGTACATTTAATGGGGAAAAATACTTCTTCTTCAAAAAACAAACCAAGAGAAAGGTTATTCAAGGTAACTCAAGATCATGTTTTCTGCTTCTTTCTATCCTTTTTTCCTGCTTAACCATGACACTGCCCAGCTGCTCTGCAGTGTTCCATAACCATCTGCTGAGGAGGGACCTCTAGTGCCACCTTTGCCCCTGATGAAATGGCAGGGGTTGAGGGATGAGCTCCCCCTGTCCCATGTGACTGAAGCTGATGGGGACAGAGCAAGGGAATCTCTGGCCCTGATTTCAGTAGGGGAGAAGAAGAAAAATACTTCAGCTGGGAACTGGAGCTATTTACTGAGAGCAATACAGAACATCTGCATCTGTGATGTTTGGCAGTGGGACCTGGTTGTCATTGTATCAGGACTGAGAGGGGAAATGCAAGGTGGAGAGGGTGGAGGGATGGCGGTGGTTTTCATCCAGAGCCCTAAAAACATTTCCCCAAAATCACTGCAAACACTTGTCAGTGTGAAGCCACTTGGAAAGAGAATTGTTTCTTCCTAACAACTGCAGTTGTTAGGAAGTTTAAAAGTAATGACTGGTTCTTACTTAGCTATCCGTGCATGTATGTATTGGGGGAATCAATCCAATGCCTGTTCTCTCTTTTCAGCATTGACTGGTTCTTTTTGAGTTGCTTCACACCAAAATGTTTTTGTAGTTACACTGAAGAATGGAAAAATGTTTCCGACCAGTCAGCTTGTAAAGGAGAAACTGAGCATCCCAGGAGTTTTGTTTTGAGCACTGCTCCTTCGGCAGGGAAAACAGTGATGGGAGAAATGGGAAGATTTTCCTTAGTGGGGATGTCAATCTGCTTCCACTCCTGAGATTGGTATCTTGAAGGCGTTTCCTGCCGCACGTACCGGTGCGGATATTCGCTGGATCGCTTGGTGTGTGCTGTGCCTGATGGCAGCACCTGTAAGTCAGCCAGCCCCAGGAGCTGAAAAACTCCTGAGATAGTGTACAGCCTGTCCCTTGGGGGTCTGTCAGACAGGATACAAGGAAAAGGGACAGCTGAAAGGGAAAAAGCATTCTGGGCAGAGTAAGAAAAGAAATCCAATTGAAAAAATATCTCTCCAGTACAATTTCCACAGCAGAAAATTGCTGTATTAGAGAAAACTGTATTTAGCAGTTAAAGAAGAAAACACTTATTTTGAAAAATCATATTAAAAACTCAATAGCCTTCCATTCTCTTAACTCTGGTTTCAAGTGGATATTTTCAGATACCATTAATCGTTGCTGCTCAGTTCAGTAATTTCTATGTAAATACATATTTTCAAAATTAATAAGTAAATTTCCCCCCTTTCCTGTTTAGCAGGGTCCAAAGGAAGCAAGCTCTGTGTCAAGCTGGATGTGAGTGGACACCCAGTAGGATCTGCTGTGCACTGTTGTAATGGACATGTGACATTTTAACATTGCCTTGTATATTTTGTTGTAAATAATATAAAATTTAAGTTCAAAAAATACCTTTGTGCAATAAAGATATTAAAATTTAATACCGATTGCAAGTAAATAAAATATTTGTACTTTTAATTTAAAATTTGTTTTAGCTATTACCAGTAAAAGTCTAATTAATTTCACCAAAATCTGTCAGTGAATGAAATTACAGGATGACATCGAAAGAGACAGCTGGGCAATCAGCCAACTAATGCTTTGCTGAAAGAGCAACTACTAGATGTCTTCCTGAAAGTATATGTAGAAAAATTGGTTGGAAGAAGTTGTAGAATGCTCCCGTTACTTTCAAGTGTCTTATCAAATATTTTTTTTTTTTCCCAAACAAAGGTATATGATTGAATCTATTAGATATAATCAACTAATCTCAGAACTGTCTTTAGCCTTCATCTTTCTGTGAGCATGGAAAATCACATTTGTAATTGAGTCTTTTCAACACCTGACCTTCAAATCTAAAGCCCTCTTAAAATAATAACGGATGTGAAAAGAATTTTTTTGCAGTTTCTGATCTGGCTTTGTGGGTTTTTTCTGACATCCTCTTCACAGGCTTAGAAAAGAGGATGTGAGTCTGTTCACAGCATTTTATCTAAGTTCATTCATATAAAAATGTGTGGAAGATTTTTCTCTGTAAGTCTTAATTTGTTGGCCCAGCCTTTATAAAAGACATTTTAAAAAGGACTTTTATGTGTGGCTTTATAACAAGTTTTACTTGCAGAAGAATACAGAGATGTTTTAATAGGCATTCCTTAGTTTTTCTTTTCAAACACATATTTTCTCCTTTTCTATAAGCTCACCAATCTAATGTAGCATTGGTATTCTTTGTCAGTATAACTCATCTGTTTTACTGTTGCAGACCTTCTGTTTGTCAAAGGAAGGTGAGAGTGTTCTTTCTCTCCTTTCTGGCTGTGCCAAAGCAGTTGTTGCCACTCTCAAAATAGGTGTGCAGGCACAGCTCTGAGTGTCAGTGCCCTCTCTGTTACTAATTTGATGTTGATGAGGGAAGGCCATTCTGTGAATTAACAACCTCGGGAGTCGAAGTGACAGTCCTCAATGCCAGGGCATAACTGGCAGTGTGACAAGGTCAGTTGTCGTTTGTCTCCCTGTTCTACACCCCTTATACACCTAATACAGCTCTGGGGGCCAGAGCCTTTCAGGCACAGCCCTTGAATGGATGTGGAAGTGAATGGGGTCTTTAAATATCAGCATCCTGAATGTTTATCTCAATGCACCTTCTTGAAATCTACACTGCAAAGGATAGAAGAGGCAAGTAGCTTCAGTGTTGAAAAAAAGCGTGTTGAGCTTTCCAGGAAAACATAGCAGGTTTATTCAAAACAATCAGTTTAAAACAGCATTAAACAACCCAAACATGTTGATGTCAAAATTCCCAGTAATCTTAGAAAAATAATGATATTTTCACCCTGGTTTATAAGCAATCATTTCTTGATAAAGCATCAGCAATGTACATTTAGCACTTAATATGATTTCATGCTTACTAGCCTGTCTCTTAAAACTATTTTTTAAACACAGCCTTCCCATAGAAGAGATATAATCACAGTTATCATAAAGCCAGGTTATGCTGTAAAAAGCCCCATTACCTGACTATTTCCAAAGGATGCCAAAACTGCTGCAGGAGTCAATGCCTGTATCTGACATTTTCTTGGAATGTTGCTAATACAGAGTAACAGGCAGCAGTCCTGTGCTTTGTTCTTTGGAAGAGGTTTAAAAGTGAGCGTATTTATATGAAATACAGTCACAGATTGTGTTCTCACTCTGGATACAGTCCCCAAACTGGTCATATTTAAGAGTGAAGAATACTCAATTTGTTAAAATTGGTCAAAATCAAGTCAAGCTTTCATTACATCCTTTATTAATGGAAAATAAAAGTGTGATAATTCTTTTTCAGTACTAAAAGAAAAACTTCTTAAAATTGCATATTAAATAGACTTCATGATTTTAATGGCACCAAGTTTATTCCAGCTCTTTCAGGCATTCATGTAGGTATGATAAATATGACTGGAAGCAAAATAGAGATATTAGATTGAATATCTTAACCCTGAGTGGAGACCAAAGAAAGGAATATATATCTATAATAAATCCATTTCTAGAATCTTGTTTATGTCTGAGTCCAGGTTCTTAACTCGCTGTCTAAAGCAGCTAAAAGAATTTGACAATTTATAATACCCCATTTCAGTCTGTCAGTGTTTTATGATTGAGCAGTAAGTATCCACAGGAACTTTGCTTTTGAGACCTCAGTTTCAGGTACCTGCTGATTCTGACCAAGAGAAGTTGTGGATTGTGCCCCCTTGCCCTGCACACAGTGCTCCAGTGGCACCACCAGGTTAAAGACAAGGCAGGGGGCATGCAGCAACCTCACTGCTCATTCATTGTAAGGTGTAACAGAAGAGAACAGGTCTCTTACAGCTTCCTCAGCATCATCTCTCCTCCTGTATTCCTCCAAACAAAAAATCAAGTGTGCAAGAATGTTACAGTCAACAATACAGAGATCAAGGTCAGACTAGCTTCAATAAGACTTCCAGAAGAAAATTTTATTCGACCTTCAACTGCTGGGTAAACTCTCTTCATTCTCTGGAGGTAGCGTGAAACAACCTCAACGTCAGGTTCACCTAAAGAAACAAACAAAAAACTGTTCTGTGCATCTGCCAAGCTCTTAACCAAAATGTAAAAACTTGCCTACATTCCAGTTTTAGCTCAAGAATCAAATTGTTTTCTATGCTTTGCCATTCTGAATCAGCACACATCACCTGTGGTGGTTTGTAGCCAGAATTTGTGGTAGCAACTTGTATTTTACAAACACACAAATTATTTTTGTTTTGTTTGGCTTGTTTTGTTTTGAATTTGTTACAATGGTATTTTCCAGTTCAGGTAGACTGAGATAGTCTCCCACCTGTTTGGGGTATAGGGCTGTAGACCTGGCAAAGCTATTGGTTATACTTTTTCAAATTTACTTTTTTTAGGAGAAGTTTTTAGTCTTGGCACTGCTTGTGTGCACACAAGCACAAAGTATTACATGGGTTTTTACAGTGCGAGACCCTTTTCAGTCACTGGTGCCAACTATGCAATGAGCCCCTTCTGATCCAAGCTCTTAACCTTCCAACTTAAGAATAATTACAGTTTTACCCTTCTGTTGTACTGAAAGACTTTACCAGAACCTTACAGGTTGTTGCCTTTCACTATTCCTAATGATCTTTCTCAGTCTCATGAGTAGGGCTGATGTTTTAAATCAAATTTTGCTGAACTTGATTTAAAACACCGGTTGTACCTGTGAGAATCAACTTTAAACACCTGTAGAAAAAAAATTTGCCTGTGACAAAGATCCAGAAGGAAAATTTTTGAGGTAAAAGCATGCTTTCACCATGCACAAGAAGAACATAAAAAATAAGTTCTGCAAAAATGTAGATGGGCTCCTATGAGACATTTTTTTAAAAATACAGCCCTACACCCCTTTTGTGTTTTCAGAAATAATGGATTTTAATCTCAATTTTTTTCAAGTTTCCCTTCATCTTAAAGAATGGACTATACCAATTTTACAAACAGAGACATTCTAACACTTTGCATGCAGCTTTAGAGGACCTTAAGCCAGTGTTATAAAACATCTCAGTTCCACCTCTGGTGTGGTGTCTGTGGCACCCTGCCTTCTGCTGCCTGCAGAGCTCCCGGGGCTCCCTGGTTTTGGCTGGGCCAAAATTCTCTTTGAGCAGGTTGGCATCTTTCCCCTCACCCCATGTTGTTCACCTGAGCTGCATGTTGTTTAACAGTGGAGGTGATGATTCTGTCTTTCTAAATAATTCTACACAGTGGAAATTTAAGGTCTGTATAAAATGGCATCTTTCAGTAATAAGTACAAGTGCAAGGCAGTGTAAGATCTACTCTACGTGTTCTTTGCTGCTTTTCTGGTTTACCACAGCCTTAGGACTGCTCTCTGGGCACTGCTAAATTGATAATGTTTCTCTTTGAAACTTTTGTGGTTTTAACTGAAAAAGAATCGAGTTGCTGCCTACAACCAAATTTAGCAAGCCAGTGCTGTCAGGGTAGAACCAAGTTTAATCATGGAGTATAGGCAAAAAGTCTGAGGTTTATACTGTAGAAAGATCTTTTAATTTTTGTGAGTTGTTTGCGTGCTACCCTGTTAGAGCCCGTACTTACCTGGACTGTATCCCCCTTACCTTTACTGTATCCTAGATTTTTGTCTTTCAGCATGCTGTAGCCATCTCCTCCAAATAACATATAGGATGGCAGAGTCACGTTGTATATTTCATCCATCTGGAGCGGGACATAGGCTGGGACTCGGCACGCTGTGCAAAGAACTTCCAAGCTAACAACTCTGCTTCCTGGGGCTTTGGAGAGATCATAGACCACGTGGATGCCTACAAAAATACACATTGGAATGCCACTTAGTGCAGGGCATGTTGAACACACAGGGCCAGAAGCAGCATTCTCCCTCATCTTCAGCTGGATCTTTGCATTACTTTCTGTGACCGAGAGTTGTATTGTTTTGAATTGCACCAGTTAATGCCCTGTGTCCTTTGCACACTTACTCAACATCTATGCAAGAACATTCCAGAGAAATAAGAATTGCTGGAGCACTGTCCCACCTCATTTACTTATCTGATGTCTGTTCTCATCTCTACTCCACAAAAGGAAATTACTGGTCATAGGATTGGAGTACTGCAAGATAAAAATACCTTCCCTTATTTCTGTAGTCACATGCTTTCTCGTTTCCCTGGTCTGTTGGCTGAAATTACTTTTTTCAAGGCCAGCCAGCCTAACTTGGTAGCTATTCTGGATAACAGGCAGTGTCCTGAAAAAGGAAAGCTGGACCAGGGCTGTACACGAGGCAGTGTCTCCTCACTGTAGGAGAGGCAACATTTCTCACTGTGGGCCTGCCTTGATCAGGGCCAGGGGAGAGCCAGGCCCCCAGAGCAGCCCTGCCAAGAACCTGCCGATGAGGAAGCCACTAAAGGTCCTTCAAAGCACTGAGGCTCTTCCAATCCCAGCACTCTTCCTGCTCTGCATCTTCCATCCTGAACCCTTTCCAGAGCTACTGGTTTCCTTCTTTTTCT